GCAAAAGTTATTTTTTAATGGTTTTTATTTAATGGGTTTCGCTACACAATTGTTTCTGCTACGCTACTCTGGTGTGCCCATTTCTTGTTAAGTTGGTACGTTCTTACTGAGGAATGAGCCGTAGACCGGTATTCTACCTCGGAAGTGGAATAGGACGATCGCTACACAAATTTTCTCCCAAAAATTTGACAGATGTAATTACAGTATAATCGTAGTGTAATTACACTGTAACTTGCATGTAATTACACTGTAACTATAGTGTAACTTGTATGTAACTTTCAAAAATCTCTACGTAATATGTTGTGGGAACAAATCCTTACACATATATGTGTGCTATGATTTTATTTTTCTTCCTCACCAAAACAAATCTTATAATAGATCTAAAGATTCAAAATTACATAAAACTTATATACAAGTTACACTGTAGTTACGTGCAAGTTACGGTGTAATTACATATAAGTTACAATGTAATTACACTACGATTGTACTATAATTACATCTGTCAAATTTTTAGAAAAAATTTGTCGACAAATATATAGGTGGTCCCTTCCACGATACAGTTGGCCCAATTTGCCGATCTGGTCGTCCTCAGCCCAATCCGCACCCAAGCCGCACGTACGCCGCCCTCGAAGCAATTCTGTTGCACACCTTGTTGAAGACACATCCAAAACAGCCTCTAGGAGAGGCTCCACGCGTGGCTTGCGCCACCTTTGCGGCTCCACCTCGACCCGCAACCCGCTCCGAACTCCGATTGACCACCTGTCAATCTAGCCGCGAGCCGAAGCCGACAAATCACATGCCATCTTCCCAGCCGCCGAACGACCCGAGCGCTACGTCTAGCCGTCTCCCTGTCGAACGCAACTCATTGAAAGGCCCGGGACACCCGGCCCAGTGTTCGATTCCACCGATCAAGAACGCCGATCGCCTCTAGCTTCAATCAACCCGAGTGTGCGGCCGCACGTCTCCCTGTCGAGAGTAGCTCACCGAAAAGTTCGAGCCACCCGCCCGAAGTGTCCGACCCACCGATTGATTCGCCAATCGCTTCCGCCGCCATCAACCCGAGCACCACGTTTGGTCATCTCCCTGTTGAAGCAGCCATTGATGGTTCCGGCCGCCGCCAGAAGTGTTCGATTCCACCGATCAAATTCCGTTGATCGCCGTCGTGCTCTACCTTGCGTCCATGTCTGTCCCTGGACACCCTGTGTAGTCGTCGCGGCGTGGAGCACCTCCCTCGTACCTCTACCATGGATCTCCCGCAGGCTCTGATACCACTTGTTATAAAACCAACCCCAAAATCGACATCGGTAGCTAAACGCGGAAGAAAACGCCATAGGAGATCCAAAACGGTGACGACACCGAGACACGATATTTGGTAACGTAGTTTAGCCGTACCCTACATCTCCGGGGCACTGATTACGGGCGCTCCACCTCGATCCAGCATATACAACGTTTCAGAGTTACGACTCACGGCCGGTCGCCGCTGGCAGTCGCTCCCTCTCGCTATGCTAAGTCGCCATGCGGTTACAACAGGCACGTCACTCTATTTATGAGAGATCCTAGGACAGAGTCCGACTCTTACTCTAGTCATATACCTAGTACAACTCCAAGTTCTAAACTGTAACCGACTATGTACACATATTCGACACAAACTCTAACAATTGTAAAGCTAAAAATGAAAGACGGTATAGAAAATATCGGAAAACAAAAAATATAGGACTATATGGATGGAAGCATGTCAGCGTCGATCGAAAACACTAAAATGTGAAATCATACATTTAATTGTGCATAAATATACAATATGATAAACTAAATTTAAAGTTACACTATGTAAATTATGAAATGTTACGAGTACAAGTAGGATTTAGTTGAGGAGTCGATGAGCATCTAAATTATGAATTAAATAAAGAAATGAAATATTGCATATTTAGGAATACAGTAATTTTCATAATGATAATTTTCATAATAATGTAGTAAAATTTAGAAATGATTGGTTTATAGCAAAATCGTTCCATTTTCATTTTTAAGTTCTCACCCATGATCTCATGCTCAAAGCAGCTGCAGCTTACTCTCTCCATCTCAAAAATAGACAACGGCATGTACTTAATCATATTTAATCTCAGAGGTTAATTTTTATGGGAAGTATGAAGTAAAGATGCGGGGTTTTTGGACTATTTCCCACTCTTTTTTCTGGATGGGGTATTCTCAAATGCCATCTTTCTAAATGTCTTTGATTTTTTTGCCGTCGGAGGGAGAAGATTTCTTGATTGTGTGCCATTTTTAGCCTATGAGAAGCCACATCACCAAATCTGGGGATGAAATGACCATCTTGCTCTTCTTCCTTTCTTCTTCTTTTTTTTTTACTTAAACTTTCTTCTTCCCTTCACTCACCTTCTTCATCCTCTCCCTCTCCTATAGCGAGGTCCTTGCTGATGAAGGCATACGAACTAGGTGGAACCGTGCGAGCTCCACGCCGAGGGCATAGTCGTGGGCCACAACCTCGTTGTCAGCATCGACGAGCACCATGCTGCCGTCATCGACTCGTTGTCGAGGGGTACCTACCCCATGTTGATGGCCATAGCCGCGATATCCTCTAGCACCAGAGCCACCGCCAACTCATTGTCGAGGGCCCGACTTCCGCACCGCCAGTCTCGAGGCACTCCTGCTTCGCCCCTCGCCGACCTCGTCCTCATAGGACAGGACTGCTGCTGGCCATCCTCGCCTCCTGCGCGTTTGAAGGAGTTGTTACAGGAGCAAGTGAAGGGACGGCTAAAGCTCGCGGAACAGGTGGAGATCCTTATTACTCCCTCCGTCCTAAAATATAAGAACATTTGGATGGATGTGACACAGATTCGTAGTACTAGGATGTGTCACATCCACTGGGGATGCAAGTGGGTAGTCCCGCTACCCGCATAAAAACCCGCTTGCTTGTCTATTTTTCGCATGGTAGTATAAAATTTAGAAGAAAAAATGAACTAGAAGTGGGATAAGCGAGACAAAAAAGCCTGCGTGCCCGCCCCGCTTGCATCTCTAACATCCACCTAAAATCGCTTATATTTTAAGAGAGTAGAGACCAAACAGTTCGCCAGCCATGGAGAGGGAAGGAATGGGAGGGATTGAGACTTGAGAGGCCGTGGAAGGGAAGAAGGGCAAGATGGTCATTTTGCCTTCAGATCGGTGACATGGCTTCTCATGATCTTAAAAAAAAAGGACACACGAGTAATATATATTCTCTCTTCGATGGCAAATATCAAAGGCGTTGTTTAGATCCCTGACAAAATTTTTCACCCTGTCACATCGAATATTTGGACACATGTATGGAGTATTAAATATAAACGAAAAAAACTGATTACGTGTAAATTACGAGACAAATCTTTTAAGCCTAATTGCTCTATGATCTGATAATGTGGTGCTACAGTAAACATTTGCTAATGACGGATTAATTATGCTTAATAAATTCGTCTCACAGTGTACGGGCGGATTCTGTCATTTTTTTTATTAGTCTACGTTTAATACTTTAAATGTGTGTCTGTATATCCGATGGAGAAAATGGACATTTAGCCACGTTCAAAAAGCGGTTTCGCTAGAATGCCATCCCGAAAACACGTTTCGCTAAAATGCCAATATGAAACGTGTGCTCATCGCCACTTTGCCATTTTGGCCATTTTGTGCATTTTCGAAATCATTTTTCACTGGAATGCTTTCCCTAGACCAAAATAACCCTGACGTGGGCCCCACCTGTCATACACTCTCACCTCTCTTTTTCCCCTTCTTCCCCTCTTCCTCTCTCTCGAGGACGCCATCGGAGCAGCGGTGGCCGGGAGGCGGCGTGTCCAACTTCGCCTGGCCCTCCGGCGTTAGCACCAGCCGTCGGATGCTGCCGGCCGACGGCGCGCCTGTGGCAGGGGAGCACCGCGGCGGAGGCAGCCGCCGCGAGGCCCGCGGCGCCTGAGGCGGAGCGCGAGAGCATTGCTTGCTGTCGTCGCCGTGGAGAATAGAGGCTCGCTGGCGGGGTCGGTGAGGCGACGAGGTCGCCATCGAAGGAGAGCGAGGCGGGCACGGATCACTATGTGGAGCAGTCGGGGATGGCGCGCCAGAGCGGGAACGAGGACGGGAGGTGGAGCACGGCTGTCGTGGAAGCTGAGGCGGCGGAGGTAGAGGAGCGCCGGGCGGAGCTGGTCGTGAATGCCGAGGTCATCGGTGAGGAAGGCAAAGACCGGGTGGAGGTCGGCGCGGACGCTGGCGGTGCGCTAGGAGCTCCGCCGAGATGCCGATGTGGAGGCGGTCGACTTCGACCCCTTATGACGTCGACTTCATGGACGAGGACGCCGCCGAAACCACGCCGGCGCCCGCCCCTCGCCTCTGCTCCACCATCGCGGGTGGCGGCGACGATGGGGGTGTAGAGGTCGGCCTTCATCGAGTCGACGACGTTCTCGCGGAGCTTCATCAGGCAGAGGGCCTCGTCGATGATCGATCCTGTTCCCGGCCCGGCGCCGGTGGCGCGTTGGTGCCCCTCATCATCTCCTTGTCGGTCACCCGCTCCGTCGCCGGGCAGAGCATGCAAAGGCCGCCGCGGCGGACGCGCACGATGTTCCCGCGCATGATGTGGAGAGGCGGCGCGCCGGCTGACAGCAGCGGCGTCGCCGCCCCTTCTCTTTGTCTCCTCTCTCACCATGTTCTCTAAGTTGATAAGGGGCAATTTTGTCTCAACAATTAGTAGAGGAGAGAATCTTTTCGAAAATGAATAAAATGGTGAAAATGGCAAAGTGGCGGTGGACGTACGTTTCATATTGGCATTTTATCGAATCACGTTTTCGGGATGGCATTCTAGCGAAACCGCGTTTTGAACGTGGCGAAATGTCCATTTTCTCATATCCGATGTGACACGCAAAGACTTTGCACCCTGGATTTAAACACAGCCAAAGTTAACATTTTAAGGGTGGCAAATACTAGTCGAAAACCCCGTAGCATAAGGGAGTATTCCTGCTGCTGTAGTTAGGTAGGCAGGCAGTAGCAGTGTCGCACATTCAAATCCAAGTTCCTACTCCCCAATCGATCCCTTCCATTCTTCTTCCAACCGGCCAACGCGTCAACCCTAGCGATCATCCAGCGGCGGCAACCTTACAATGGCGTCGCTCTCTCGCGTGCCTCCTCCCGCCCGCGGAAGCCGCCGCCGGCCGCCCCCGTCCAGCCCCGTCCCCCTCTCCCCGCGGCAGGAGATGCTCCTCGAGGCGGCATCCGACGGCGACCTCGGCTTCCTCAAGCGTGCGTGCTCTACACCCCCTCCGATTTCGGTTTTGATGTTGTTCGGCCGGCGCTGCGTGCTTGATGATTTGCCCTTTCTTGCAGGGGTGGTGAGGTCGCTGGACGGAGGGAGGGGCCGCCCCGCGGAGGCGGTGGAGGCCGTGCGGGAGTGCGGCGCGGGCGCGCTGCACCTCGCCGCCGGCGCGGGGAAGCTGGCGGTGTGCAGGTACCTGGTCGAGGAGCTTCGGGTGGATGCCAACGCCATCTACGACCAAGGTCCTCACCCTCTCACTCGCTCACACACCCGCGAACGCCATTGTATTTAGCACGGGTCGTGATCCTATCGTCGTTGTCTACTCCTATTTGGTAGCAGTAATTAATGCAGGGAGATTTGTGCCTTGCTAATTGTGGAATTTGGGCGATACTAATGTTTTTGTAGTGTCGCTGGGTTATTTTCAGAATTCGTTGGCTGATGTGTAGTTGCGCTTTGTTTAGGGATGCATTTATTCTCATTGACTGATCACTGATGTGAGTTTGCCTGTGTACGTGTATACCCGTACACATTTACTTGATGCCATTCATAGTGTGCTTTGGTGTGTGAGTGCTTGTATGCTTACTTCAGTGATGCTAATTTTGACTTAATGGTACTCACTTAACTGGCTCTGTCACATGATATATAGACAACCCCTTTTTTTTATTATTGTTTTTGCAGAGTCCATCTATATACTAAATTTGTGTTTAGCGCATTGTTAGGAAAGGTGATTGTTTCTTTGGCTGCTTCTTTTCTTATTTTTAGCAACTGCTACATCAGTCCCAATTCTCAAAAGGACCTTCATCGGGAATGGAGGTAATATATATGTTATCATGAGTCATGACTGAAAAATAACCATTCCTTTGTTTTCCTCTGAGGTTGTGGTTTTCATAGCTGTCTAGCCCCTTGATTAGCATTTCTTTTGAACTTGCATTTGTTTCTTGGCTTCTTCAGTTTGCCAATTCACACTGTTGCAGTTTTTCATAGTTGTCTAACCCCTTGATTAGTATTCATAATTTTATTTCTCACAATTATGCTGTAGTACATTTGAATCCTGGAGTTGGCATTGTTCAGTTGACAAATATCATCCATCGTTTATACTTCTATTTTGGGAATGCCATCATAAATTTGCATTTGCATCTGTATGCTACCTGGTACATGATATGTCGTATTTGTTAGGCCCTATTTTCATATAGCATATTAGATTTTACTTATGTAAAATCCATATACTTAAAACTGAATTGGCCAACAAGACATTGGCATTAGTCAGCCTTATTATTATAAGATAAGTTCTAAAGTACTAAAACTAAGCATGGTATAGGCATGAATATCCTGATATTTTGGATCCACTATGTAGGGAAAAGATACTTGCATTTACAGTATATTGATGTAAACTCCCATTCTCACATGAGTTGTCCAACAAAGGTTGAGTAAATAATTCCATGGTTGTTTCATTGTTCTCCAAATAGTCCCTGTGCTGCAAACATTATACATGACCTTACTTTTTATCTTATGGTGCTTTCCCAAATCCGATGCACACTTTATTTGAATGTCAATGGGCGGTACGTATAACAGTTATTGAGTGTTCATTTTAAACATGTTTCTGACACTACCTTTTGTATCATTAACTAAATATTATCTTATGGTGTTTATTTGCCTTGATTAAAAATATGCAGTTTGTTTTTTATATTTTGGACTGCTCAAAGGGAAAAAAAGGGAACCTGCCGCATATTAGATAATCAACATTTAGTAATGTAATGTGATCATAATTTAGAAAGGCCTATGCGTTGCACACTTGAACTATTAGTGGTTTCTGTTTTATCTTTAGGAGATGGAAGGTAAATGTGTAGCAAACTGTACGCATGCTAAAACCCCAAAACTTGCTCTTGGTTGATATAATCATTTGTTCCTGATGCTTTTAACAGGTGAAACACCTCTGGCTTATGCAGTCAATGGTGCAAATGTAGCTACCGTGAGGTACCTTCTTGACCATGGTGCCCATCCAGAAAAAGCTGATAATAAAGGATTCACCCCTCTCCATTTTGCTGCTGAAGAAGGTTTGCATATATCATCTTTTTGCCTGTCTGCTGTACTTCAATTTATTTTTCATGTGTTAGACTCTAGAGAAATGAACATTATGATATGTATCTGAGATAAACTGTTTGGCCATTCTTTGTTTATGTAACTGATCGAAAACCAGTTTTTCTACATGTGAGGTGGCATATATGCTGCTTGTTCTTATACCATGCCACCATGGTATTCTTTTTGTACACCAGTAAGTAAGCATTTGTTAATTTTGAAGTTACTAATGAATGAAAATTTTGGTACTTATAATGTTTGACTTGATGTAGACTGGGTGGTCTAACTCTGACCACCTGCTTACTGTTAATTGGGCAACAAGCTGCCTAAGTGCTTATTTGCATATTTAGGTCTTAGACCAAATCCCTTGAACGTAGGGATTTATCTGGGTATGGCCATCTGGCAAGCTATCTACATGTTGTAGATCTTATCAAGGGTGTCTATTCTAATTCTCTCCATATAAAACTGTCCACCTTACGTTTTTAAGGTATCGATTTTAATTTGACTATATCATAAAATTTCTCACAATGATCCACTGAAGCAATTACCTTGTTTAAGGATGGGGCTGGCCCATATAGCCCCAGGTTCAGATACAACCAACTCATCAAGGTGGTGGTCAAGGGCGCTGAGAGAAAGAGACAAAGACACTAATAAAGGACTTAGCTCTCTCATCACTCTGGTGTTATGGGAGATTTGGAAGCATAGGAATGACTGTTTTTAATGGTGCTAACCCTTGTGTAGCTACTGTCCTCCAAACAGTGGCAAATGAGTGTATCATGTGGTCGCTAGCCGGGGCTTCTAGGCTAAAGGAGTTAATTGATAGGCCAATAGCCCCTCGGAGGTGGGGTTTTTTGTGTGTGTTGTAAAGGCTACGGCCTGTTTTGGATCCGGTCGGTGGGCACTGCTCACTTCCTGTCCTTTTTTTTCTTCTCTTAATGAAATGATACACAATTCTCTTGCGTGTTCAAAAGAAAAGTGATACCAAAGTGTTACTACTATTTGCCATTGATTGATCCTATGCTCCTTACTTGATTTACAGATATCAAAATATCCAAAATTTGCCCATGGGTACTTCTCCAGGAATTGTTTATCATTTCTTCTGGCTCAGAATAGATATTCTAATGCAATATTTATATTTCCTTGATCATTTATGTCCCTAATATACATATGTTAAGGGCAAACTGAAATCTAGCAGATGTTATCAGGAAAAGTAAATCATATAGAATAACTATCTTGCATAGTGATACCCGTTGAAATTTCTTGTTCTTTTTTTACAGGATATTGCAATGTAGTGGAGCTCTTGCTTGCTAAAGGGGCTCAAGTTGATTCGATGTCTGTTCGTGGTACACCACTACATCTGGCTGCTACTAATGGACAACATCGTGTAGTGAAGATTTTATTGGACCACAATGCTGATGTATGCCATTTTTTGCTTTCATGTTCCTAGTTTCTAATTAGCGTAATGCCCACCGATTGTGTTGGCAGCCTAATAAATATACCCAGCCTAATAAATATACCATGAAATCTAAACGTAAAGATGCAAAGAAAATATAATTATCCTCAATACTGTGTATTGCACAACTACAGGAGATTGGTCAACTACCTCCATAATATGCACATTTGCAATACATTTTTCTACAAAAAAGAAGTTGGAGAGATATCATGCACATGTCTATGTAGATCCATCCACGCAGATGTTTTCTATTGACGGGATGGGTGCAGAGTGCACCATCACTCCCGACTCTTTTTAAAGACTGCAGACCATTGTAAGATAAAATTAACATGGTTTAACGGCATTGCATGGCTTGCTCCTACTCATAAATATTATATTTGTTCATGGAGGCTGCACTGATTTTTCTTCCACTGAATTCTACACTACTATTGTTTAAAATCATAAGAAATTCAAAGTTCAAGTACAGTCGCAACCCTTGATAGATAACATTTGTAGAGTAGTTACCCCTTTTCAAGTCTCTGAAGTCTGTATAGTGAGCATTGCGGTTCTAGTTTCATCAATTTATCTTTTTGTTTACATTATAATGTGTCTTTGTTTCCTTTTGTCACTGAGGTTTTTGGCCAACTGATTATTTTTGCAGTGCAATAAGATTGTATCTGCTGTCTACACTCCTCTCCTCGTCGCCATTTATGGTTCATCACTGAAATGTGTAAAGCTGCTGATTAAGGTACTGTGGCTTGTTCCTTGGGATTTACTGTCTACACCACTAAATAATGGTTGCCCTCGAATCCACCGGTTCAAATCATTCTTAATTTTGACCTTGACTGCGTCAGATGATATTGGGATGCCACATAATTTCTTATTGCTAGATTTATTTTGAAATTACTTATATAATATTTTTTAATGATTTACAACAATATATTACTCCCTCCGATCATAAATATTTGATAATTAGGACAAGATTTGGTCAAAATTTGAAACTTTGACCATCAATGACTTCTAAAATGCTTAGTTTAAAACCCCAAAGAAAAGGTATGCTTAGGTTTGTCTAGAAAAGTGCTACCATAATTTCATAAACTTAAAGTTCAAGTACTATGATAGTTGATCAAAGTTTGCCCTAAAAGTCAAATATCTATGACAGGAGGGAGCAACAGAAATTAATGGTCATGATAGTTGATTAGGTACCATGCCAATGTCCAACAAGACCTATATTTAGTGAAGAGGGAGTAAATCATCTAGAATGTTTTGGTGTCAAATATTTCATGGGGAAATTCAACATGTATCTCCTGGAAATTCTAATTTCATATTTGTGATATGATTATAGCTGGCTACAGATTACATGTGTTGCCCATTTATGCTGGTCTGCTCCTAACCATCCTGAAACTGCCACCAATCAGCAGAGTATGAAGGGCGACCATTTTTTTTTTAAAAAAAAAAAGTACTATGGGGAAGGTGCTATTATATGTCTACTACTAAAAAGGGGAGTTTCATCCATCTGCACCTCCCACACATCGGGCGTTCCTCCCCTCCCGAAAAACCAAAAAAAGCTGGTTACTGAGAAAACAAATAGGTCAAATCCCATCTTCTGTTGCACGCACCGCATGGCTGCACCAGCTGTGCCTTGTCAGGGTCAGGCCCGCCCTGCAAACTCCCCAAAACTACTTTGGCCCAGTAGGAAAACTAAACAATACAAGGAAAGAAGTAACCTTGAAAAGGTGCAGTCAAAACCATGACAACCCAGACCAACCACGAGAAAGAAAAGGATAATTTGATGAATTCAGATAGCCAACATATTCTTTTGATTAGTGCATATTAACTATTGTGAGTACACGCTGCCTTATTTTTGCTTTCAAATGAGCTTATGTTGGTAAATAATTTCATGGGGTGCACCACTAAGTTTCACAGTTGCATTGCTATATGTGCGTCACAAGCAATTGACGTGATCCATTTTGTTATTCTGTAGCAATACATGGGCATTTGACTAGTTAAGAAAAATACCATGGGAAGGTTTTTATGATGCACATGCACTTAAAAATATTTCAGATATTTCGTTTTGATTTGAACTTTAAAGAGAGGCATAATATTTGGAATTTCAGAGGAAATAGATGTATTTGTACAACACTGCATTTCTCAATGTTATTAATTAGGATATTTATTTTAGAGGAGGCAACCCAACATTTTTTTCTTGGTTTAGGCTGGTGCTGATGTAAATGGTGTTGGTAATATAACCCCCTTAATAGCTTCTGTTGGCTCAACTGAGATCATGAAGTGCTTATTGGAGGCCGGTGCTGATCCTAATGTCCCTGATGAAGTATGTTCTCCCCTCCCATCATTTTGATGGCATGTTCACCAACCTTATTTACCTAAAGATATAAGATATTTTGTTTTAACAAATCATTGCTGAACATGTTGCTCTTTTAGGCTTCGCAGTTCTTAAACATTTATCAAATCAATTTATGACGTTTTTATCCCATTAGTGACTAAGACAATTGCAGCAACCATAGTATCAGATGGATACACCGATTTAGCATGCAGCAGCCTTAGTCATAATTGTTCGATTATTGAATAATTTGAACTCCTTTTGTCATATTAGATTTGGTAATTCCTTGAGTAAATTACTTTGATACTTTTCTCAAGTACTTCAAAGACTAGATTGTTGCCAATTATTGCATTGAAGTTCTGATGTTTTTTATTGTCTCTTGTGCTTCTATTTCTTGCCCTCCAAATTGCAATTATTTTATGAACTCATATTTTCTTGATCATGAGCAGTTCGGCAGGATGCCAATAGAATTTGCTGTGCGATGTGGTACATTGAAAGATGTCAATATCCTATTTCCTTTGACATCTCCTATGCCGACTGTACCTGATTGGAGTGTCAGAGGAATAATCCGTCATGTGAACACACTGCCAGGGCAAAAGGTACTATATGAACTGTGGCATCAATATTGTATCTCTCTTTAACTAATAACTTCAGTATGCAAATTGGTATTTGATTTGGCTTTAGAAAGTCTTCAGAATTTTTTTTGTTTCATCCTTGAATTTTGGGAAGTTCGTGATGATGGAATTTTTCATTTATTTTATGTCTGGTTCATGTTTTCACACCCACTTGTTGAAATGTTCTTTTTGTTGTGGTTGGTGCTAGCAGTTTCACCAAGGTGCTAATTGCTAGTCAGATCGCAGACTGTACCTAGGATTAGCCTGCCTAGGTAGCAAATTTTTGTTGGCCACGCAAAATAAAATAAAAACAGTGCACTCAGGGCATACATGTTAGGAAGAAGAGGGATCAGGGAGGCTCAGTTGCTACCCTCGAGCTGCATTGCCACGGCTTTTGGTTGCTGTGTGCCACCCTCGAGCTGCTGCTGCCAGAGAAAAATGATGGCAGCTGCTAGTAAGAAATACCTAACCCAAGTACTCTTTATGGCCTGACTAAGTTTCATGGGCTGCTAACCCTACTAGCCTTCTCGGTTGTTCAATCACCAATTAATCCCCCACAGCCATTGGATTCCGCATTTGCCTCCTACTCCTAATCCTTTTCACACTCTTGGCTCTCTTACAAGCGAAGTGCCTAGGCACCACCTATATCTTCTACTTTTTTTTTTCATAACACTGGATGCTAGACTTGAAACATAATGCTTTTAGGGAGTTATACAAATAGTTGTATATGTTGGATAGTATAGGAGACTGCGTAACGTGGGACACATTTTGTATTGAGCCTCAAGGGGCCGATATATATTGAGTACATGGGGAGGAGATAAGGAAGGATTACAGATATGGAAGGAATCCAAACAAACCAATCATATCCTAATATGACTCTAACTACCATATACTCTAACATCCCCCCGCAGTCCAAGCGTGAGCAGCGCAGACACTTGGACTGGAGAAGAAACCGGCAAGAGTGCTCAACACGGATGATAGCCCTTTGTGCCATAGTCGATGTAGACAAAGCGATGGGTGCGAGGGAGCCGTGGTCGATGAAGCCGTGCGTAGAGTAGCCGTGGTTGATGTAGCCGAAGTAGAGAAGCTGATGTCGAGGTAGCCGAGCCGCAGGCGCGCATGGGGCGCCGTAGAGTGGTCGTGGACGCACGGGAGGGGCGTCGTGGACCAATGGTGCGCAAAGACGCGTTAGAGACGAAGACGGTGACACAATCGCGGCGATCGTGGAGGAAGATGACGCCGAAGAGCTGATGTAGTCGAACCGTGAAGGACGAGACGTCACGTCGGGTTTGCCAGACCCGGGGACAACTCGGGACGAACGCGCGCAACGGTGTTGCCAATACCGCGCGGGTGAGGTAGGGGACCACCATGAATCATACGCCAATGACGGTCGCGGCGTGAGAACGGCATAGACGGAGAATTGTCGGAGAAGAGCGAAGTGTAGTCGAGGAAGATACGGGCGATGAATCATGCTGGATGAAGACGAAGGCGACGAAGACGAAGGCGAAGTAGTGGGACCAACGGCCTGGATGGCGACGTCGGTAGCCATGTAGAGGTAGCTGCACCACCGGCCTAGAGTGGCAACAGTGGCAGATTGGAGATGCGGCGGCGATGCTCGAAGTAGAGGAAGAAGACCCTGAGCGGCTAACGATGACCAGTGCGGACGACGAGGTTGTCGATGCGCGAACGGCGATGAAGACGACGAAAGCGGCAAAGCTGCGGTCCGAGAGGACATCACAGCTGCAGCTCCATGTCGATGCAGCGGCAAGAAGTCCACCGGTGATGTAGAAATGCTGAGGAGGGCGCCTCTCAGCACTGCAACAACCAGTGGAGGTGTGGACCACAGGCAGCGACACTGTGGCCTGAGGGGGGCGACGCAGCGGCACCCCAAAGCTTGATGGCTTAGACGCGTGCTTGATGACGATCGGTTGCAGAAATCGTAGCCGGGCGCTTGAACGGGTGATCAAGCCGAATATGCGCGAGGCGGAACGATGAAGTCGAAGCAGAGTCGACGCCGATGTCGGAGATGCGTGGATGTCGACGAGGCGGTGAGTCCACGCCACCTTGTGCACCACAGAAGGGACCAAAGTCATCAAGTAGCAATCCTTTGACCGGTCCATCCACTGCCTTTCCCTGTCCCCAATCCTATCCATCCACACACGCGTAGACAGATAGAAAAGAGAGACATGAAGCAGCAGATTGATGGCGAGGCAGGCAGAAAAGGTCGACGATGACTCGGCCGGCGAGGAGACGGCAACAGCCGCGAGCCTCCAGGCGGGGACAGGGTGGCGCCGGGTGGAGGGGACCCAGTGCCCCGCGAGCGCCGGCGCTGGCACCGGCGGCCTCAAATCCTAGTGGTCCCGAGCGGCGGACGTCCGGTGAGCCGGCGGAGGATGGTCCCGGCAGGACAGGCGAGGTGGTAGGCGAGGACCGGCAGCGGAGAAGCAGCGCCGGGAGCTCGTCCCCCGGTCGACGGTGGTGCTGGAGACGGAGGAGTCGGAGGCGGTGGTGGCCGACGCCGCCGATGCAGATCCGGGATCCAACCAGGCGGAGCTCGGCCGGGGGCGAGGTGATCCGGTGAGGGACGAACAGGGAGGAAGCCGGGGTTGCAGGGGGAGACCGGTGCCGGAGGTGGAGCCGAGCTGCGCCGTTCGTCTGTCCATCGGGATGCGATCGTCGGCCAGTGGAGGTGACGACGACGGCAGGGCCCCGTCGGTGAGGCCGGCGGAGCAGAACGGACACTGAGGGTGAGGCCGGCGGAGCAGAACGGACGCTGAGAATGAAGCCGACGACGGGCGGCCTGACGGCGATACAAGAGCGCCGCGCACGGAGGTTGGCAGAGGAGATGCAATCTGTTGCTGCTGCTTGACGACGACTAGACTCGACGAAGAACAGTCGTGGAGATCGATCTCTCCAAGACGACGACGACAGCGACGAGGAAGAAAAAAGAAAAAATGGGTGGCCGTCCCCGGGAGATCGCTACTCCCGAGGGCGGCGGCGGCGGAAGCGTGAGAGCGGTGCTAGATCGCCCGCTCTGATACCATGTTGGATAGTATAGGAGAGGTATATTGCGTAACGTGGGACACATTTTGTATTGAGCCTCAGGGGGCCGATATATATTGAGTACATGGGGAGGAGATAAGGAAGGATTACAGATATGGAAGGAATCCAAACAAACCAATCCTATCCTAATATGACTCTAACTACCATATACTCTAACAGTATATTCATGTAAAAATGTTCACATTTCTTATTTGAAGCAGAAGCATATTTCATCTTTGATCTCAGGTACTTAGTTCTGCTAGTTGTTGTATCTTTTTCCATAAAATGTATTCATTATTTGCATTCGGTGATTCAGGACTATGAGAGTGGCCTTGAAAAAGAAGTGGCTGGTTTGAAATTACAAGGAGTTGAGGCACTGAAGAGGCAGGATTATCTTGCTGCATCAGACCTATACACTAAGGTATATAATTGCACATCTTCTCTACTAATTACTATCTCTGTCCCAGAATATAGCAACCTATTTAGATGGGACACATTATAGTCGGCCTATCTAGATTCGTAGTATTAGGATACATCTCATCCGGTTCTAGGTTGCTATATTCTGTGATAGAGGGAGTACTTTTTTTTTTTCATCTTCTTCCACTTTTAACCTTACACGTATCAGTTGGAACTTCAACTTGGATTGCTACAATATTTCTCACAGTGAAGGTTACAGTTCCCCATTTACTATCAGTCTCTGGTTGCAAAATGCAAATGGAAATCCTTGTATCTAGAGAATTCAGCATGATGATTGATAGTCACAACGTTTCAGCTTAACTCTTATATTTTTGGCACATAAAGCCATGTTTTCGCTAGGTAAGCCAAAATGACCTCATTGATAATATGAGTTCCTAGTGTCCTAGGTAGTCAAACACAGCCTGGGGCATATTATGCAATCCTGTCTGACTTCTGTTTTAAGCATCGATTGAGTGCATATGACTGACATTTGTTTAAGCACCGAGTAATTGCTTGTGATATATGAAACCCGAGTTACACCTACTTATGATCATTTCCAAACGTTTAAAGGCAGTCATGACGCATCTCCAGCTTTTAGAGTCCGTGGGAATCAGCTGGATTTTGCAAGCCAACAAGGTCTGGGAATTGCGGCAGTACTGCAGTCTGATTTTATTGTTGGGATGGCTAGAAGGAGCTAGCCATCCAATGTAATTAAGATAGGAGCCACATATTTTCCAACCCTTCATTTAATCCAGGTGGAAGGTGAGGAGTTCAGGAATCGAACCCTGGCTGCAACGTTCACACTGAATGTTTGTGCCAACTGCGCTAGAAGCGCATCTCCAGTCTGATTTTAAGATTGTTTACTTTGGCTATCTTGTCGTTCTCCATGGTTGCTCATATGTTAATTGTTTTCTATATAGTCCTACCCCCAAAAAATTGCAACCAAAACCTTAACAGTAGCTCTTCTATGCTAAATGAAGTTATATTCATGTGTGGCAGATGTAGTAATTGTTCACTTGATTGTGCTTGAATGAAGGCGCTTTGCCTCGACTTCAATGATGCAACCCTGTATTCAAACAGGAGCCTCTGCTTTCTTCACATGGGTGATGGAGACAAAGCTTATGGGGATGCCTATACTTGTAGGATGATGCGGCCTGATTGGCCAAAGGCCTGCTATCGCCAAGGAGCAGCTCTAATGCTGCTGAAGGTGAGATCGTTTTTCTTTCCCCTTCATAATCTGAAGCAAATCTGTTTCTGTACACACCCTACTCCGTATGTATATATGCAGGAATACCAAAAGGCGTGTGATGCTCTCCTCGATGGTTTCAAAATGGACCCAGGGAACTCTGAGATTGAGAACGCTCTAAGGTATAGTATCTCTGGTTACGGTTTTACTGCATATCTGCGTGTTCTAGTTTGTGATGGTAGTGAGTGGCCTACTGGCCTTCGATCCTGTGCCTCAGTAAACCTTCAACCTATATGGTTTCTAGTGTTGTTGATCAACACGTGCAAACATTTTACGGAAGCTTGAGACGCTGGAGCTCGCTCTAACCTGTTGTGCCACGACGTGCTCCGTGTATATATGTACGCAGGGAGGCGATGGAGTCCTTGAAGATATCTGATGGTGCTAAGCTGACAACCTGAATGAAGCGTCTATACTCGAGAGCCACAGCCTGCAGGTTCTTTCTTTCTAAGTTTCTATCTTTGTTTTATACTTCCGTATGCTTTAGCAGCAGCAAGAGCCGTTGAATTGTGAATATGTTGGCCGGCAGCATATTGCTAACTTTGCTATAGCACTGTAGAAGTTGATTGGTGCATTTAAGGTTGTTAGTGGGTCAACCCGCGAATCCACATTGCAAGCAACCGGGATTATTGGCCTGGAGGAATAAGTTCACTTTAGGTCCTTCAAATTGTCCCCAAGTCTAAAATTCATCCCTAAATCATAATACCAGATATGATGCGTCTCTCAACTCCTAAAACCAGTGCACTCCTAAAACCAGTGCAAATAAAGTCGCAAGGCGGTTTGGATAGTGGTTTAGACTGATGTGGCACCTATGTAACGTTAATGTGGATTGTTGGCCACACTTTGCCACAACTAACGTTAGGCAAGTTGTGGCAGTCATAAAAGTGTGGTAGATAAAATGCTAGCCATAAAGTGTGGCAAAGTTGGTAAAAAATATTAAGTACATGTGGGATATACTATTGAAAAAGTGTGGTAAGGCATAACTGTGGCACTAAACCTTTTCCTACGTGCTCAAGGCTGTTGCGTCGGCGTGCGGGGACCGACGGCCACCGAGCTAGACCTCTCCGTCCCTGTGTGCTACGGCGAGCAAATGTGTGCCGAACTCTCAGCATGTCATATTCCTGCACCTGCAGTTGTTGCGTGTTCATAACAGCTGGATCGTGGAGGTCACAAGGCTGATCAATTTTTATCACCTTCGTTTTGTAATATACGAGACATTTGACTTTCTTTTAAGTTAACTAGGGTTTGGTCCGGCCGGATGAAATCTATGCCGTTGATTGCCGATTCGACGATCCCACGGCTGAGAAAGGGCTGCCACAGCTGGACGGTTAGATCGGCTCTACCGCGAGATCTCAGCCACAGCTGGACGGTTAGATCGGCTCTACCGCGAGATCGAACGGACGATGTTGGTGGGGGAACCAATATGTAATTAATAAAAACATAGGGTCTTTTTTGCAAAATTTGCTGATGTGGCGCTCCTAACTTTCAACCGATCCCACGGCTTTTAAGTAAACCTATATACTAACTATTCGCTATTTTTAGAAATATCCATGTGCAAATAGATAAACATACCAGGCACGCTTAAAATAGTTTTAATGACAGAGCTAGTGGTACTTGTTTCACTTTATTTTACATGTAATTGAATAAATATTATTGGTCAAAGTTTGAGAAAAACAATTGACTGCACTATATATTAAAACTATATAAATATTGTTGATGGCGTCATTATTTACATGGTATGGTGCATTTGGTTACAGTGCAATGACAGCTTACACCCATCAACCAAGTGGAAACTGTGTATGCTCATTTATCATGTTACTGTAGTTAAATATGGGGATTGGATTGCTATCTCGCGCGAGTGCTAGGAAGCTGAGTCACGCCCGCCCTCCTCTCTCCCCACGTGTCTGCACGCCGCACCTCTCTCTACACGCACGCGTCTCTCCCATCTCCCCCTTCCCCTCTCTCTCCACATTATCTCTTTCTTTTTGCTTACTCGCTGGTGACCGACAATGAAGGCCTCTCTCCGGCGAGCTCCCTTCTCCCTCTAGTAAGCTTTCTTCGGCAACCAGGTTAGCCTTCTTTTTCGACGCTGATCCCCACTGTGTCATCGTCCTAGCCTCACCAACGAGATCTTTAGCTTTGGCTAGCCAGCATCAACAGGAATCAACGTGTCGCCACACCCCTGCCCGGCACAGCCTTCCCCTCGCTTTACCCTGCCACCAACACCAGCCCTCCACCGGTTGCTGACCCCCGTGGCTCCGCGACAGTGCCACCGCATTGCTCGCCCTTGTTTGCCACCCAACGCCGGTCCGCCGCCTCACAAGCCCTCCCTCTAAGCCCGATCCCCACTTACCTCTCTCTAATGCCACTTTCCCTCCACCACACTCTCGAAGTTCTAACCCTAACTATAGCTTGTCGTCATGTGGTCGAAAACTGCGTGCGACGTTCCTCCCTAGCGAGCACGCGTTAATTAGGATTGCTATTAAATACTCCCTCCGTTTTACAATGTAAGTAATTCTAGTATTTCACACATTTATATTACATTTATATTGATGCTAATGAATCTAGATATATATTAGATATATATTGTGAAACGGAGGTAGTACTTAAATACATCCACTTGTGGCGTACTACTAATTTATTACCACTAAGAAAAAAAATAACATAGGCAACCTCTGGATGGGCCCTAGAGCGACACGGTTCGGACATTTGGCCCATCAACACAAAACGACAAAACAAGACATAACCCTAACAACAGGAGTAGTCGCTCTCGCTCTCACGCCACTTCGCTAGTACTCCACCTCCCACTCCACTCCGGACTCCCACGCCACACGACTCCACTCCACTCCCCAAACCCTCGCGTCCTCCTCCCTCCCTCCCTCCCGCGCGCCGCCGCCGCCGCCGGCCACCATGGAGCTCGGCAAGGAGGCCCTCGTCGGCGTCAGCATGGACCACATGCGATCCTCCATGCAGCGCGGCGGCCTGCCGCCGGAGATGCTGGAGGTCGGCATGGAGCTGATGCGGGTCCTCGTGGGGGACTCCATCCCGGACCCGCCCGTCTCCACCCTCCCGCGCCTCGCCCCCGCCGCCGCCGCGCGCGCCCCCGCCGACGGCGTCGACCGCATCAGCCGCCTCCCCGACGAGCTCCTCCGCGACGTCGTGTCCCGCCTCCCCGCCAGGGACGGCGCGCGCACCGCCGCGCTGTCCACGCGCTGGCGCGGCGTCTGGCACTCGGTGCCCCTGGCGCTCGTCGACGCCCACCTCGCACCGCAGGGACGCGGCGGCGGCGGCGTCGTTGCCGCCGTGTCCCGCGTCCTCGCCGCGCACCCGGGCCCCTTCCGCTGCGCGCACCTCACCACCACCTCCATGGAGGCGCACCGGGGCGAGGTCGCGCGCTGGCTCGAGGCCCTCGCCGCCAAGGGCGTCCAGGACCTAGTGTTTGTCAACCGCCCGTGGCCGCTCGACCTCCGCCTCCCGGCCGCGCTCTTCGCCTGCTCCTCCCTCACCCGCCTCCACGTCGGCGTCTGGCGCCTCCCGGACACCCGCGCCGTCCCGCGCGGCGCCGCCTTCCCCCACCTCCGTGAGATGGTGCTCTCCTGCGTCGTCATGGAGGACCGGGACCTCGCCTTCCTGCTCGACAGGAGCCCCGCCCTGGAGAAGCTCGCCATCATCACGTGCCAAGACGGCGCCCGCGTCCGCCTCACCAGCCGCAGCCTCCGCATCTTGCAGGTCTGCCTGACCGTCGTCAACTACGTCGACGTGGTGGACGCGCCGCGCCTGGAGCGGCTCATGCTCTGGATGACGAGCAAGCACCGGAGCTGCCTCTCCTCCATGGTCAAGATCCGCAATGCGCCCAAGCTGCGGTCGCTGGGATTCATGGAGCCTGGAATGCACGAGCTGGAGATCGGCAGCACCATCATCCAGGTTCATAATTTGATTGCTGGATCTTGATCCCAACCACCAAATGTCACATACGATTTCGATCGTGACCTGTTCCTCCCGTGCAAATGTGACACAATTAGTGTAATTTGCTTCGCATTTGCAGGCGGGGATGAAATTGAGCCCAAGCACTGTTGTCCCGAGTGTCAAGATCTTGGCACTAGAGGTGAAATTCACAGTCCGCTATGAAGCCAGAATGCTTCCAAGCTTCCTCAAATGCTTCCCCAATGTCGAGACTCTCCATATCCATGTAAAATATACTGGTTGCTTCATTTGGTGTTTCCCATCAGTAATGAGTAGCTACTACTATCTGGCAAAGCATGATCAAATCATTTGTTCTCTATATCTACCTGAACATGTGAGTGACTGACATACTGACTAACTGGTTGGTTTAATTTGCAGTCTGCAGTTGAAGATGAGCCAACCGGCAAGAGCAAGCTCAATCTCAAGTTCTGGCAGGATGCCGGCCCGATCGAGTGTGTCCAGCACCACATCAAGAAGGTGATCATGCGCGAGTTCCGCGGAACAAAGAGCGAGCTCACGTTCCTCAAGTTCGTCGCGGAGCGTGCGCGGAAGCTGGAGAGGATGGTCGTCGTGGTGACCAATGGATGCTTCTGCTCGTCGGGCTGTCAAGGAGATACGCAGGCTCAGATGGAGACCCTCATGGCTTCCGCGAAATGGGCCAGCGAAGGGAGTAAGCTGGTAGCATTCGAGAACCCTCACTCTCAGGTTGGAACTCCAGCTTGGAGCTTCCAATTTGCATTCAATTTTGATTGGAGTGACCCTTTCGATTATGGCTACGATCAAGCATCCCTGGTAAGTCCACGTTGAAGTGGTCAGTGTGGCAATGTTTTTTGAGGGATTTGCTCAGGTTTCTAGTACTAAGCAACCGTGATATATTTCTCTAATTAGTTCGGCACTGTTTGATTCTACTGATGCAAAAGACTGTATTTCTCTCGGATGCTGCTATGTTAATGAGCACACAAGTGACATTTGCAGTTGATGTTACTTCCACCCCTATTGCCAGGTTTTAGCTTGCACAATTTCTTGTAATTTGTTGGGTTTGATGCTTCTTGGAGTGATACAGAGTTGCTTGAATTTCCAATGCATGAATTTAGATGGTTGCTTATTGTTATGACTTTTCCTGCATAGCACTTATCCGTTGATATAATTGATGATTTAGGGTGAGCCTGTCAGTAAAAGGAAAGCAACAGAGTTAAAGTCACTGGGTAATAAGGCGGTCGAGAAAAAGGATTATCTTTCTGCAACAGGATTCTACAGTCAGGTACTTCAGAACACCAAGTTTCCTCATTTTGTTCATCTCTATTTTGAACTTGTACTTTCATACATTGTACAGAGATTATGACCTGGCTTTGCTTATTCTCGCATGCAAACAAGTTAATCTGAAGTATTCTTTTAGAAAAAAAAATCTCAATGTACAAAATTTACTGTCGCTGGGTAAAAAAAAAATCCAACTCAATGTACATAGGAGCTATTTTTTTGTGTTCCCAAAACAGCCAAACCAAAGATTTGGCAATGTTGCTACAAGGGGTATTACCAAAAACTTGGGGCTTTGGACCATACCTATAGAGTGCCATGTCCTAGATATCTTATTTCCTCTTTCAGTTATGTGGTGCATTTCCTATACTATTTTCACATAGGCTTTGTTGAGGTGTACCTGTTTATCATAACGGAAAGAGAGAATATGTGCGTGATGAGAGTAGCGCAATTGTTCTAGGAGACTCACTTTCTCAGTGCTCTTGTTGTCACTCCTATGCCATGAAAGAAACTACAGTAGAGCTTTTGTGGAGTTGCTTGGCTTGTGAGTTGCGACTGAAACATAGCACGCACGCACACACGCACATCGCCACACTACTATTACACTAGTATAGAGAAACTGGTTGAGCAAACTAGACAACAAAACTAGAAAATATGCGTGCGTGTGTGCTCAACCAGCATTTGTTGAGCACGCACGCATATTTTCTAGTTTTGTTGTCTAGTTTGCTCAACCAGTTTCTGTATACTAGACTACTAGTGTAATAGTAGTGTGGCGATGTGCAAGTTTCTTGTTTCTAGGTGTTAGATTCATAACTGTTCTTATGTTCTCAGTAAATCTGCTAACTCATGCTTTTCCTTATTCAATGTAGGCAGTGGACCTTTACCCTGATGATGCAACCTTGTTCTCAAATAGAAGCCTTTGCTGGCATCACATGGGTGATGGACACAAGGCTTTGTTGGATGCTTATGAATGCAGGAAATTGCGGCCTGACTGGCTGAAGGCCTACTACCGACAGGGTGCTGCTCTGATGCTACTGAAGGTTAATAGATGATGCAATTATCTATCTTTTGGTTTTGTGCTGAAAATTATTATTTGCTTATTTACTTGGCACTGTATCATCAGGACTATGAGAGTGCTTGCGAAACACTTTACGATGGATTCAAGTTGGATCCAGGGAACTCTGAGATGGAGGATGCATTACGGTATCCTTTCTGTCTATTTCGGCCACACTACGGCTCTCTGTTTGAAACAGATTATTTGGTGGATTAATGCTGTGGATTATCTACTTCACTGTTGGGATTAATTGTAAATATTTTGAGAAATAAACTTTAACAAATACTAGCTTGGAACTAAAGGTTTTTTTTTTAGAAAATGAATCTTTAGAGGTGTGGAGCAAATATCCATGGCAATAGTCCGGTGAAGTTTAATGAACAGGGCCTTTGGCTTCTTGTAGTTAGGTTTAGCATAAACTTATGCCTTGAAAACTTGTGGGGTATGAATATTGTTTAAATTCCATTCTGTTTTTGGGAGATTGTTAGGACTTTTGCTTTAGCGGTGATGCCATCCATATCTTACTGTACCAAAACTTGCTCTTTGATCAGCACTATCCACTAGGCACAATGGTTACATGGGAGTATGGAATCTTCCCGCCAATGAATTTCCTAACGTAAATTGTAAACTAAAGAGGAGGTGTGCATTGCATTTCTCATCAAGGTATTGGCATAGTGCATTCACCCGTGCTAGAGGAATTACGAGTTATGAAGCTATCGAACTTGTTTTCTCATAGTTCGTTTTTAAATAATGGAACAAAAGTTCTGCCTGCTGCATCTATCGATGGACAAAACCATCGTAAATTATCGCATCTTCTCTCATAGTTCTTGAAACATGCAGGGAAGCTCTGGCGTCCTTGAAGGCATCTGCAAGCACGGAGGCTAGGTGAACAGCATGGGTGTTTGCAAGGTGGGCAAGGCGCCCTGGTCCTCTCCTACACGTTTTGTCCAAGGCGTCTCACTTTTTGCAAAGAGCCTCTGGTTCCCTGAGTCCACAGATGTTCTCACATTTTGCCTGGAGACTTCGATACCCAGAACCAGAATGGTTTATCTCCTTTTTATAATTGAAGCAAAGTAGCTAACCGGGGTGGTGACTGATGAACATCACGGTGATTCGTGTCTATAACTGCTGTTTGGGGTGGCAGTGTGTGCAATGCTGCATTGGGATGGCATAGTGGGGGTTTAACTATTTGCCACTTTTAGATTTGGCAAATAACTATTTGTCACTCATATCTCAATGACATGTGGATCCACATGTATCTATGACATGTGGGTCCAGTGGTAAAAAGTTAATTACACATCTAAATGTGGCAAAAATGGTTAAATATCTCTGGCATAGCTGCTGATACTGTGCTACTACTATACACTCGTACCTGTGGATGTTCTCCAGGTGGCATTAAACTCTGCATTTTGTGCTACAGAGAAGCTAGGTTCTGATGATTCTGCGGATTGCATCCTTCTGCTATATACATCCTTCACTTTTTAAAATATTAAAAATATTCTAATACATATGTTATTAGAAGTCTCATACAACAGACTTGTATATTGCATAAATAAATTTATTTTTTTATACCAAAGGGTAAAATGGATTTATTAATAAAATATTTACAATCAACTAACGGAAAGAGGGAGGTATATAATGGAATGAGTAAAATTTAGGGGTATAAAAAGGATCGGGCAAACTATTAGGGTACATAAAGAATTTTCTCATTACTTAGGTTTTATTTGGTATAAAATAATTTATTTGAATGTTATCAACGTGATTGTAAATCTAGTATCATATATTTATATATTTGTGGAACTAATAATACACAGAGCTATGCCAAAAAGAATATTAATTAATGGTAATGGCATTTCTCATTTCACATGCGGCAAAAAAAAAAAAAAGTAGCCCTAAAGGAGCTTTCAAACAGAGGCTTGGTAACACAAAAATGTGGGTTTACCAGTGGACACTAATTTCTTGGTTCTTTGGTATCAGACACCGTGCATATTATTTTACCATTCATTGCCATTTTAAAGAGAGAAACTTTGCTAAATGACCAAAAATGCCCTTCACCTCATTTCTCTCGTTTACTCTGTTCCTCTCTGACAATGCTGTGTTGCTTCCTCTTATTTTCCTCTTCCTTGCTCGGACTAGGGACAACCTTGGTTTACCTTACCGTCAGTAACCGCGTGGTTACTGGGCTTACCGCGGGGTACGATAATATAAATACCGTGGTAACCTCCTTAAATTCAAATAAATTTAAAAAATAATTTGAATTTTTGAAAAATTTTGCACGGTTTTATACAGTTTAGCAAGGACGTTTGTGTCATTTGTCTATCTAAAATGGCAAGAAATGATAAAATAATGCGTGCCTAATGGCAAAGAACTAAGAAACTAGAATATCCACTAGCAAACCACATTTTTATGATGTTATCCAACAAGGTCCGTTTTTAAATTGTCCCATAGCAAATTTTGTCATAAATATATTTCAAAATATTAATTGGATAGTCGAATAATCCTCCAAGCAATGTTAGTTAATAATAACTCCTCTATATCATTTGTCTAGTGTCTTCCTTTTCTTTTCTTCAGGAAATAATAGGCCTTCTGTTCAAAATGATGGTTTTTTTTCCATAGAATGGCATAAGATTTCTCTTGCCTTGGATTTTACAACAACTCCGTTGCTTGAGTAAATTGTGAATCTGCAAAAGAGCCCTTGTATTCTCTGGAAATTCCGTGCATCTTTCCCTATTATGAAAACTAGCATGGTGACCACGCAGATTGCGCGGCTAGCATCATTATATTTTTTTTCTCATATAATAACATATATGTTTTTTCATTGTATTATTTAAATATATTAAAATGATAGCATAATTTTAAATTTTGCAATAACTTTACGAAACTACTAACGTGTAATATTCATATTGTATTTTATATACGTGTTAGTTATTAATTATTTTTAATATCAAATTTTAGTTATTTGTAAATTATATATATTCATATATGGACTCTAGACCCGTCTTTTAATATTTATATTTTTTAATTCTGAATTTTTATTATTTCTAATTGTATTTCTATGTGGACTCTAAACTCATCTTTCAATATTATTTAATTTTTAATTTCAAATTTCAGTTACTTCTAAATTGTATTCCTATATTGATTTTAAACTCTTCTTCCCATATTTTTCTTAATTTCAAATTTTAGTTATTTGTGAATTGTATTTTTATACGGACTTATTCCGAATTTTAGTATGGACTCTACACACTACTTCTAATTTCCCTTATTTTTAATTCCGAATTTCTATTATTTCCTAATTGTATTTCTATATGGACTCTATACTCTACTTCCAACATTCCTTATTTTTAATTCTAAATTTCAGTTATTTCCTAATTGTATTTTTATATGGACTCTAGTCTCATCTTCTAATATTCCTTATTTTTTTAATTCTGAATTTCAACTATTTCTAAATTATATTTCTATATGGACTCTATACTCTACTTCCAATATTCCTTATTTTTAATTTCGAATTTCAGTTATTTCCTAATTGTATTTCTATATGGACTCTAGTCTCCTCTTCTAATATTTCTTATTTTTTAATTCCGAATTTTAGCTATTTCTAAATTGTATTTCTATATAAACTCATATATCAATATTCTTTAATTTTTATTTTCAAATTTCAGTTACTTCTAAATTGTATTCCTATATTGACTTTAAACTCTTTTTCCCATGTTTTTCTTAGTTTTGAATTTTAGTTATTTGTAAATTGTATTTTTTATATGGACTCTAAACTCTACTTTTAATTTTATTATGTTTATTCTGAATTTTAGTTAGTTTTAAATTCCTATATGGACTCTGTACTCTACTTCTAATATTCCTTATTTTTTTAATTCCGAATTTCTATTTTTTTCTTAATTGTATTTCTATATGGACTCTATACTCTACTTTTAATATTCCTTATTTTTAGTTTCGAATTTATATTATTTCCTAATTATATTTCTATATGGACTCTATACTCTACTTCTAATATTCCTTATTTTTAGTTTCGAATTTATATTATTTCCTAATTGTATTTCTATATGGACTCTACTTCTAATATTCCTTATTTTTAATTCCGAATGTCAGTTATTTTCTAATTGTATTTCTATATGGACTCTAGTCTCCTCTTCTAATATTTTTTATTTTTTAATTCCGAATTTCAGTTATTTCTAAATTGTATTTATATATTTACTCTAGTCTCCTTTTCTAATATTCCTTATTTTTTAATTCCGAATTTCAACTATTTCTAAATTGTATTTCTATATGGACTCTGCTTTTTCTTTTTCTCCGATTAATGTGAGAATTTCTAGGCTATGAGAGCGAACGTGGAGGCTCATTTTTCTATTCCTTTAGTAATATAATAGATAGATAGATTCCGTGCCTAAACCCCTGGATTTTTCAAAAAGGAAAAGGAAAACATATATACCCCTCATGCTGACCAGACGAGAGAGATGCCCACTTTGTTACATGACGTGACCAAATCGCCTTCATGTGTAGAATCACGGAAAATCGAACTTACCATTTGAGCAACCATTTTAGATGCACCGGCTCTATCACAGATTCCATGACTGCAGGTTAGTCTCCCACGAAACATGAGCTCAGCCTTGCATCTCGACGACAGGGTTGGTCGGTGCGACGAAGAGAGTGGTGGCGGTGGCGGCAACGTCAGCACAAGGTGAGCATTGGGTTCAGGATGGAAACCTTGGGTTGTAACAAGCAGACAGATGCAGCGAACTTAAGCAAAATATGAAGTAGCAATTTGGTCAAACCGTGTAACAAATTAAGTGGGCTTCCTCTTGTCTCGTTAGCATGAAAACACTAATTTAATGAGCACAGTGTTTTCTGGCAAATAACCATATTTACAGAGGGTGTTCCTCAAAAATGATTTTGTGTAGTATTCTACAGCTAAACCATGAAGTCGTAATGTCGTGTATCAAAATTTACCTTGCGTCTTCCGTCAAAAAAAATTTACCTTGCGTTTAAGGTCTTATATTGCTGGTATTTATAATTATTCACCGTATTTGTTGTTATTGATTATTGATATTGTTTATTACTTTTAATCAATTGCTTGGCAGTGAGTTATGGAATTGCATTCTCTATTGTTTTAGGAGTTACCCCCAGGGGGCTAAATCTGATTTTTGAGAATTTTTAGAATATACCACTCAATACGCACCACCTTTAGGATTTGCCACTCAATTCGTAACATTATTTTAAGAACATGTCACTGAGCACGCGAAATGTTTCATTCCGTGACACCTTGTCCCTTTGAAGCCGAGCGCCATCGCTTGCCCCTGTCACGAAGTTCATCTAAGTCATCTGGGCGCCACTGACGAGTTCATCTCCCACGCCGGCGAGTTCTTCTTTCTCCCCACGCCAGCTCCTCCCCAACGCCGGCGGAGCTCCTCCTCCCCATGCCGGCAAACTTCTTCCCCGCACATGCCGGCGAGCTCTTCCTTCCCGCGCTGGCGAAGCTCCTCCTCCCCACATCTACCAACGAGTTCTTCTTCCTGCACTGGCGGAGGTCCTCTTCCCCACGTCGACAAGCTTCTCCTCCGCACATGCTGGCGAGCTCTTTCTCCCCGCACCGGAATGGCGAGCTCTTTCTCCCCAACGCTAGCCAAGCTCCTCCTCCCCACAACGGCGGCCTTCCTCCCCTACACCGGCAATGGCAAGATGACGCAACGGGCGATGCGATACGGATGGGCGATGACGTGTAACTTCGGAGAGATGGAGTGCCACGGAATGAAACAATTCGCGTGCTCAGTGATATATTCTGAAAGTGTTGCGAATTGAATGGCAAATCCTAAAGGTGGTGCGAATTGAGTGGCATGTTCTAAAAAATCTCCTAACTTTTCCCCATATCAAACCCCTTCCTATTTTGCATTTTTATGAATTAACTAATTAATTCGTACTTTTGCTTTTTATTATTTTTACATCGCTTTCCTGTTTATATTGTCCCATTATCAATGCATGTTTTATTTGAGTTTAACTCTATTTAAAATGTCATATAGGCTAATGAAACTTGATACACAAGAATGTGTACGTTTGAACTGTCTTACAAAGAAAATAATCCACTAAAAAAAGAAAGAAAAAATTCCACTCACAAATAAAGAAAAAAACTTTTATTAACACACCTTGTTGGCACCCGAGTTCGTCGACGACTCCACCACACTGCACAACACGGCCGCGCAGTCCAACTCCAAACGCCCAAAGGCCCAAACCACACTGCACTCCACCTGTACGCTCCCCCCTGTGTGCCCGAGCCAATTCGGTCGGTCGGCGCACGCAGATTGAACTCCCCGCCCGTCCCCCCACCGACCCGATGTCCCGAAACCCAACGCGACCCCTCCCCCTCCCCCTCCCCGCCGTGCGCCTACATATACATAGACCCTAGGCAGAGGACCTCCTCTCGCTAGCATTAGCATTGCCACTCCACTCCGCCATCATTCCACGTTCCGGGAGCCCAGCCATGGCGCCGCCTCTCCCCAGCGGTAAGCGATCGATTCGATTCCCCCCCCAACCCTATCTCCGCTCCGCTCGGCTAGCACTAGCACCCGATTCCTAGCCACCTTACTCGGCCTCTCGCGCAGATCCCCGGGCGCCGACGCGGCGGCTCCTCCAGGCAGCGGCGGACGGCGACCTCGCCGCCTTCAAGAGTAAGCCAAGCTACTCCCCTCCCGTCTTCTCCTGCTGCTTGTCGGTTTTGCGTTTGGTTGAGCTACCGGGGGGCCGGGGCTGATCGATCTCTCCGATTGATCGATGCCGTCGTCGTCGTCGTCGCGCGCGCAGGGATCGCGGGCAAGCTGGACGGCGGGAAGGGCCGCCTCCGGGAGACGGTGGAGGGGGTGAGGGACCGGGGCGCCGGGGCGCTGCACGTCTCCTCCGGCCGCGGGATGCTCGCGGTGTGCTCGTACCTGGTCGAGGAGCTCCAGGTGGACGTCGACGCCGCCGACGATTCAGGTTACCCATCTCTCCGCCGCTGACTCCTCGTGCGATACCCTAGGTTTATCTAGTCGTTCTGTAGCACCTGGGTGAATTTTTGGGCCTGTTGGATTTCACAGCACGCACGATGGCATCATCAGTTGAGTTTTTTTTTTCTGTGTGCTTTGTTCATGGCATGCTTTATTGTGATGACTAATGTGGATTACCTCGTTGAGGATTACGATTGCTTCATGCTGTCGGTTTTGTTTTCCTCTAGATGGGAATGGGATTGTGCACAGATATTGAAAATATTTGGTTAATTATTCTCTAGTATTGAAATGAACATCAATCACTTGCATGCATGTAAATGCCCAACGAATTGGGCTTAATATGATATGCATGATGAACAGCCATGTAGAGTAATGGTTTTCATGTTGGTGTCTCTCCTATTTTGGCATACATATTTTACAACTTTGGTAGAAGCTGCTCTCGATTAGCCATAACTAAAATATTACACAAGGACTACTTGGTAAACTCAGCTTATATGCTGAATGTGAATTCCATTTCAGTCCCTATATTTATCTTCTGAGAAATTTAAAAATTAAACTATGTAAAACTAGGCCCTTACTAGGAAACGTACATGACACAACCTCATGCTGTAAAATCATGCTAATGTTTATGATTTTCATTTGTACCAGGCTACCATCAATCCATCATGACATATTTTACTATTTTAATGCAGAACCACTTCATTGGAAAAACCATTGCTGCTAATTTTCATCAATTTACCTCAGAAAGGAATTTCTATCATTCTATACACTTCTTTCTATATACAAAGACCTTTCAAGGAATGCAGCTTATCACATTTTTGTCTGTGTGCACTGTACCATCAGAAATAGCTTGCTTTAGGTTTAGTGGCAACTGGCAACTTCTTGATTATGATTTTGGGTTTTAACTCGACAATAACCTTTTAATTTCTTCTGTGCCAACCACAACTGGTTATCTGATTGTTCAGTTGGTAATATCTTCTTGTTTGATATTAAAAAAAAGAAACATATTAACATAATATTGCCTCACAAAAACATGCACCTTGCCTAGGGTGAATTATACATGGACTGTGTGATTATCTGCACATAGGCAACTCTATCCTTGTTTTCCTACTGTTTTAAGTTTATTTATTCTTATTGAGCTGGACATCCCACAATATAATTTGTGCTGATGATACTCATCAAATTAATGAAGTGTTTATAGGCACCAGGAGTCCAGGATATTTTGATGTACTGAAGGAAACTGATATCTTACATTCTCCTGTAAATCTGAATGTGCAATTGTCAAGTGTAGATAGTTTTTTCTCGAATACGCAGGGGAGTTGCATATCATTGCATTAAGAGAGAAGATTTCATAAAACAACACACACACACACCCCACATATACAGGGCACATACATCCCAAAACTCCCTAGCGTAAGGATTAACCTGCAGCTAGCTGCACCAGACTTCTAGCGCCGACCAAACTCCATAGTTAAGCTTCTTTACTGGCTAGATACAAGACCCTTTGAACATTTGGCTGCGCACCGTTGAACACATAATCGTTACAGTGTTTCCAAATCATCCAGGCCCCAATACTAACCAACGAGTTGAAGCCACGCTACATTGGATTGGTGTATATACTTATGATGTGTATTTAGAGACTGGAACATATTTAATTAGGTATATAAAAACATTCTCTTGAGGGCTTAGCAAAAACCTTAGCATGCATTTTTCTGTTGTTTTTTGTATGAGTCTCTATTTTGTTAAACTTCTTTTGATGCTTTCTGTAGGCGATACACCTCTGGCTTATGCAGTTCGTGGTCGTTCCATCGATGGTGTGAAGTATCTTCTTGACCATGGTTCCAATCCAGATAAGCCTGATAATAAAGGATATACACCTCTCCATGTGGCAGCTATTAAAGGCCCACTTATATGCACATTGAATACATATCTATTATCATATGCATGCAGGACACTGCTTTAAGAGTTTTGTTTCTATACCGGAGGGTTGTAGATAATGAAATTTGCAACAGATTGTGAGATATCTTGCTGGACAAGAACAAGTTGTTTAATTGTGGTCATTCAAGTCTGAAAATATGTTATCAACATTTCATGGATAGGACAGTGTTCATTCAACCGTGCAGAGCTACCATATTTATTTTGTGTTAGTACTTAGTTGTTCAGTCAGTGTTGTTTGAAATTAAAAAGCCAATACTTATACTATGATGCTATGTATTGTACTCCCTCCGTTTCACAATGTAAGTCATTCTAGCATTTCCCACATTCATATTGATGTTAATGAATCTAGACATATATATCTATTTAAATTCATTAACATCAATATGAATGTGGGAAATGCTAAAATGACTTATATTGTGAAACAGAGGAAGTATATGTAGTATTGTGATTTATGTTTCTCTGCTCTGAATTTGACGAAAGGTTTAAAACTTGTACTCTACCGAGTACTGTAATCAATTCAACATATATAAATGTCCAGAACTAATTTAGCATGTCCCTATCATGCAAAATAATCAATTTGGTTTCAGTTATTATTTAAACTGACATGGTTGCTAATGCATCTATAAATGAGTGACACTGTTATGTAATTGCATCAATATGGTGTAATTGCATCTTTGGGGTTTGTCCTCCATGTGTGCATTATATTATCTCCTGAGCTAACTTACGAAGTGAATATGTTTCCCACTCTGATGTTGGGCATGAGAGCATATCAACATATTGGAGTCCAAAGATGGTTTACATGTACACACTAAATGATCTTGTCCCCTTTTCACATATTGCAATGTTTAGATACATTAAAGAACTAGTGGGCCCTCCACTGTTAGATCATGGGTTCTACTCCTGTACAAAATTTGTTAAATGTTCAAAGATGTAGATGTATTAATTGTATATTCTGTCTCCTCCTGATCAAATATCTCCAGCACTCATGTATTTCACTCCAGCTGTGTGTGGATGTTCGATGGGAACCTACCGGTGATGATTGTCTCTAGCATGTGCTGGATAGTTGTATTATGCAAATAAATTGTTGGATATTATGGATTGTTCTGTATGTATATAATATCTAATTATCTATTACATGTATATTTCTGGTTTCAGGAGAGTGTGAAATAGCAAAAATCTTACTCTCAAGAGGTGCTCATGTTGACTCATTTTCTTCTCATGGGACACCACTGCATCTTTCTGCTTTCTGCCAGCAGGATGGTGTGATGAAGATTTTGTTGGACCACCATGCAGATGTATGTTAGATGTTTTTCTATGCTTGCTACTAATGTTCAGAATAATAGTCAAAGCTACTAGATTATTTTCCACTACTTCTCTCTCGTGGCATCTTTTATTCATGCGACTTCGGTTGATTCTCTTGGTAGGTGTACTCAAAAACTGACTTTCCATGCTGACCAAAACTGTTTGTGGACAATGTTAGTTTGGTCAATTATGAAACATGCTTTGTTTGGCAGTGAAAACTGATTTGTTCTGAATATAACTTTTTTCTTGATCCATTTCATATATAACAAAACACCAAATGCCAATAGCCTGGAAATACTAAGGAATGTTCAGAAGTATGTACAATGATTTGAACCCAATGCAAATTGCTAGGAAACTTGTTCGCGTTCAATTGTCCATATATATAAGGAGAGGGGAGGGGGAACTGAAAAGAAAACGCAACTTATAAGTGGTCAGTACATTAGGAATGGTAATGTTTTAATTGGTGAAGAAAATAACAAGGGGCTGCAACTATGGTCTCACTGACAGAGACCATTAATAAGGTCTATCCAGTCATTGCCTAATTTTTTGTTTTTCGTTGTCTGCATAGAGTACATTTTTTTTTGGGAGGTCTGCATAGAGTACTTGAGATGGTAAAAAATTGTAATGATGGATTGACACTAAATGATGACCCACGAAGAAAAGTCGCACTACCTCTTTGATTAGAATCCTTAAAAGGAAACAAAAGGAACATATCCTGTATTCTTAACGACTTAAACCAATATTCTTTTATAATTAGTATTCTTTTAATTATAGTGCTACGCTTGGTTAAATTTAGTCTTGACTCCGCCTGAACATAGAGTTTTACCACTGATTGAGCATGCAGAATGTGGCATGGTGTGAATTCAGATGTGGACTGTAAAAAAATAATCGAGTCCATGCTTGGGATATTGTCTATCTTTGGCCCAGGACTGTAATAAGCCTATTTCAAAAGCGATTCATCGCATAAAAGTGTTCTTATCATGTATTTAGCTTGAAACTTTACTGGTGCACCATTAAAAACAGGGACCAGATCATTTTTGTTGAATACCTTAATACTAAGTGGAGCTTACATGGAGTATGAAACATTCTGGACTTGCCACTACCAATCCTTTCACCCCTCAACTCTCGACCCAAAAAAAAAAAGTCTGCCAACTTACCATCATTTAATCATAGTGTTTTTCAATGTTTCTTCTCAGTTTAACAAGCTACTCAAACCTGTGTTTACACCTCTCATCATGGCTCTCAATGCTGGCTCGCTGAAATGTGTTGTGCTTCTGCTTAAGGTATTGGATGTTGTGAACTTTTGAGTAGGATGAATACTTCAATTCCAAAATTTATACAAATCATGGCATTCTTATTTAGATGATGCACCTACAATATTTTCTGTATCAGGCTGGTGCTGATGTGAAGGGTGTTGGTACGGTAACTCCCTTAATAACTGCTGCAAACAACGGGCAAACTGACTTCTATAAGTGCTTACTGGAGGCTGGTGCAGATCCTAATGTTCCAGATGAAGTAAGTTTTTCTTTTCGATTTAGCTACCACATGCATGTTATTCACAATGAAGGTGTTGTGAGGCATAATTTCATTTCTCTGGTACTACCCCTAATTTGCACTGTAATGTTCGATATTAGAATTAATTGGCATAGCCTTTGCAAATGCTATAGCTAATTTTTTTCTTTGTTTTATTCTTAACAGTTCGGCCACCTTCCAATAGAACTCGCTGCATATAACAATAGGAGGAAAGATGTTGAGATCTTACTTCCCGTAACTTCTCGTATTCCATCTGTGTGTGACTGGAGTGTTGATGGGGTAATTAGTTATGTGAAATCGTGTCCATCGGTGGAGGTATGATCTGAAGCATCATTGCCATATTCTAATAAGTTTATCATTTGCATTAGGATATTTCCTACTCTTAAGATTTCTCCAATGCATGCACACAATTCCACTTCCACTAATTCGGATGCATCATAATTGGTTGACTGAAAATGATGTAGAATATTCTTTTTGGATGCAAGGGTCTAGTAACAATAATAGAAAAGAATGTCAATTTGATATATCTCAATATTTTTTTGTTCTGCCTTATCAATTGCTTGCTACTTTAAGTGGTGCCTTTTCATTCTGCCTTCTCTTTTTGGCAAGGGTGGTATGGTGTATCACGAACTCTTGGTTTTGTTGGAACCAAACAAAGCCGCGCTATCTGTACTCATCTAGTTTGGGTATAAATTGTGCAGATCAGTTTTTTTTTTTGTCTAAACAGTTCAGTTTAAGTTTTGGATTTTTTTTTTCTCAGCTTCATTCTATACACAGAAATCATTAGGTTTTATGTGAACATGTTGGGTGCAAAACTGGAAACGTTACAGTTTCCAGTCTCCTAATTATTATCTTCACATCCATGATCCATGTGGTATTCTTTTCATATCTTTCTCAAACAAATCTGTGTAACTATTGTCTTCATCACACTCATGTGGCATGCCCTCACCCCCTTAGTCTATGACAAATAACCTGTTTCAACATTCCAGGATGACCCTATGTACAAAATGAGTCCAGCTGATATGAAGTTAGCAGCAAGTGAGGCATACAGGAGACAAGATTACATTACTGCAATGAAGCTCTATACTAGGGTATTTTATCGCACTATGTTCTTGTACTACTCATAAAATGATTAATCATTTCGATACTGTCAGTTCATAATATATGTTTATGCATCATTTTGAGTCCCTAGCATGAATTAGATATTAGTACAGTGCCTCTATTTGTATGTTCCTTTGCTGCTTCGGTTTACAGTTCTTTGTGTTAATAAATTCACATTCATGTGGAGAAATCAATGTTCTGCTCTCCTGCATGGGCTGCTAATGAGAACTGTCATCGTTATAATGATTCAGTGGTTACTTCTTGTTCTGCATTTCCTATATGAAATGTGGTACATAAATGTTCTTGTCAACACTCCTATAAAATCTCAATAGAGGTCATCTAGATTTGGTACAAAACCTCAATTATTATCACACCAAACTGTACCTCTTGTAAAAAAAATCTGAAACAAGTAGACCATTCTAATGGTATGGATTTTGGAAGAAATCTATGTGGTTTGGATGGATATGTCTACAGATCTGCACACTATTGAGTTGGAAATTAAATATCAGATAGCCACATCTGGCTAAGCAGCCTAACATGGAAACATTGCATGCAAGTGGGAATTTTTGTATGATATGCAAGTGGTAGCAATTAACAAATGTGGTGATTGTCGATTTGGTTTGTTGTTGTAGCTAACAGATATCTGCCCGCATGATGCAACCCTATTCTCAAATAGGAGCCTTTGCTGGCTTAAGATGGGTGCAGGGGTCAATGCATTGCAGGATGCTCAAATTTGCAGGTTGATGCATTCTGACTGGTCGAAGGCATGCTATCTGGAAGGTGCTGCTCAAATGTTACTGAAGGTGAATATTCCAGTACATATTGTCTTGCTACCCCCATATTTGCCAGCATGTATTGACGAAATGCTTCTGGACCCTCTGTATTCAGGACTTTGAAAAGGCATGTGATGCGTTTTTTGATGGACTCAAATTGGATCCAGCAAGTGATGAGATTGCAGAAGCATTAAGGTAGCATACTTATCTTTCTTTACATTGATTGTTGAAAGTTCTAGTTCACAACGGGTAAATTTGCTCAAAAAGAGAACAAAATCCACAACAAAATATCGTTTTTAAACATACATATGGCAGCTGCCTAATATTTTTTGGGTAAAACCTTGTTATCTCTATATGACTGTTCTCCTATTTAGGTCCTCAAGAACACAGACCATGCATTAACATTCCATTACACCATAGTGATTATCATAACTCTGATGCAGGAAATCTTTCGAATCCTTGAAGATATCTCATGCTGCCAAAGTGGGTATTGGATTGCCATCTTCTCAGAAGAAAATCATAAGATAATCTGCCAGCGTAGCGCTGTTGCAAAGGCCGTTTTGTGAAATACCCCACCTGGTCTTGTAAATAGTTCCTAAACAACTGAACAAGCTCAACGACTCTTACCAAAGTTTCGTCTCTGAAGAAAGTCGGTGGGTTGCCTCGGAGGTAAGGTACTCCCTCCGTTTCACAATGTAAGTCATTCTAGCATTTCCACATTCATATTGATGCTAATGAATCTAGACATATATATCTATTTAGATTCATTAGCATCAATATGAATGTGAAAAATGGTAGAATGAAAGTAGCTGGCTCACAGGAAGACTCCGGTTTAGATCCTGAACTAATACGGGCAGACAGGCACCTTTGTACATTCTGTGTTACTACCTTCTTTAATCTTGACGTTGTATAGCCTGACGTGCGGCTCCTCAATCAAATGATCGTTTCGTTTCGCAGCGTGCGCTCACCTCACTTGTATGGTTCCGGAAAACTGGTGATCGTCGCTTTACATGGTATAAAATCAAAATCGGCAAACCGGCCAGTTTCAGTTTCCTGAAAAAGCAACCGACAAGATAGGTTACAGCCTGGCTGTGTACACAGTTATTCGTAAGCCGAGACGCTGTATACATGGTTCTATCGACAGTTATTTGTAAGCCGAGACGAGAGTAGACCGGTAGAGAGGATCAAGAGTGACATTCCAACATGAATATATTTGCATATTGCCGCACGAAGATTTTAGTATGCATAAATATTGGTTGACCTCTAGGTTATGCACAACTGAACTATAAAAACGAGCAGATCCATATAGTGATTAGGTGACTATATATACGGATCATTTCGAAGAGCCGTAGTCACATTTTCTTGAACCTTTTTTCAAATAAAATTTAAGAAAATGAACCCTTTTGGAACTTGCTCTCAAAATAAACTGTCTTGCTGTGGGCAAAAAAACCTCTGGTATAACTTGTCACCCTAAACCCTAATATCCCTTCCTCCGGTATCTAACTTAACGTATAACACCATCGACTCTTTTGACCATTTCGTCTTACTATTAAAAATTTATGTAATTTATTTATTTTGTTCTGATTTGTTTTACTATTAAAGGTAATTTAACTTATATATATTTTAATATTCACACAAAAATTTGAATAATAGTACTCTAAGAATTCACTATTAAAGGCAGTTTAAACCTAACTTATATTTGCTTATTTTCTTCTAATTTGTTTTACTATTAAAGGTAGGATAAACATGACTTATATTTTACATATTTATAAATAAATAAATAAATTTATGGTTAAATGTTTGTTAAAAGTCAACAATGTTATACATGGATGGAAGTATATATTTTTCTAGTGTGCTGGTGTTTGCTCATATGTGGAAATAAAACTATTTGATTTTATTTTTAAAAGTCCCAAAAACACTCTAACTACTCTCCCAATATGTAGCAATTTAAGATGGGATTCATAGTCATAGGATTGCTACGGCCCCATTTGGTAGAGCTACAAACTCCAACTCCCAACTCTAAATTCTAACTCCAGTGGAAGCTAGCTCGTATAGGAGCTGAGGTGGGTTTGAAAGTGTTTGGCTAGACTTGTTAGCTCCACACCACCACATCCCTTGTAGTCATTTCGTCGAACACTTGGTTGGCATCACCCCGCCGTCAGCCTGGGCACCGCCACCGCCAACACTCGACGCCGACACCGCCACCGGTCAGCCCGCGCGCCGCCGTCGAGGCCGTGCGTCGCCGCCGCCAGCCCGCCCACCGTCGGTTGCCACCGGATCTCACCGGAGATGATGGGAGGATGGGAGGATGGGAGGAGAGAGAATGGGAGGAGGAGGAGGAGTTTAGGGGTAGTTTAGTGGCATTTTTGTATAAATACATCAAAAAATTAAAGGGTAGTGGGTCTTTTAGGGTGGAGTGGAGCTGTAGAGCAGTAAAAACCCAGCTCTACCCCCGTAGTACAAATTTGTGGCGCAGCTTTACCAATTCCGCTCCAAAAAATAGAGTATGTACCGTTTGGCACAGCTCCAACTCTAGGTAAGTTGGAGTTGGGAGTTAGAGCTGTGCTAAACGGGGCCCATTGGAACGGAGGGAGTATTTTTGTGTGTCCAGATTTTATAGATCAGTTCAAAGGCCACGTAGCACTGTCCACCGTGAACAAAGTGTCTTTTCAAGTTCGGCTGTGTTTAGTTCGCTTTAAACTTCTAAAAATTCCGTCACATCAAATGTTTAGACACATGCACGAAGCATTAAATGTGGAGAAAAAAAAACAATTGCACAGTTTGCATGTAAATTGCGAGACGAATTTTTTGAGCCTAATTACGCCATGATTTGACAATGTGGTGCTACAATAAACATTTGCTAATGACGAATTAATTAGGCTTAATTAGGCTTAATAGAATCTACAATTTGTTTTGTTATTAGTCTACGTTTAATACTTCGAATGTGTGTCCGTATACTTTAATTTTTTTTTGGAAAAAGAACTATACACGGCCGAACAAGGACAACGACACAATCGATCAAAAGTAAAACTCAAACCAGAACTAAGAACTAAACGAAGCCAGCACTACACACGACCATGGACTAGAATTCAACGACACAAAACTGATCCAACATGAGGACAACTACGATAGACACTGCAATTCAATCGGGAGTCCGAGACGACGACGATCCAGATGCAAACTCAAACTAAGACAAATCTAAACTAAAACCAGCACTTTCGACACGACGAGGGACGAAAATTCAATATCGCAAACTGTGATAATCGCAAGGCATAAATCTATGGTTTGGCCAATGGAAAAGTGGTGTGGCTATATAGTGGATGATGGGGAAAAAATTACAAAACTAAATTCCTCACCAGGTAACTGAAGCTCTAATACCAACTGATGACACTATCTCTCGTGGCCCGATCTTCTGGTGAAGGGATAAATCTCGCTTTGATCGAGTGCGACATTTGCGACGTGGCTACTAACAAGAACAAGTCCAGAACGCCGTGCAATCGCTACACCACAAACGATGTCGTACCAACCGTGACGCGCGGTTGATGATCCCTGCAATGCAAACGAGAGAACACTGTAAGAACAAGATAAGATGTAATCTAAAAATTGCGAATAGGTAATTAGCACAAAGAAATAGTTGCGATTGACGTGGTAGATCTAATCGACCTGGCAAATCAACACACCAACTATTGGGGGCTATGAATCTATAGTCGCCGACTAATCGAACGAGGACTAGAGACAAGGTGAATGACACTTGGCAAAATTCAATTAAACAAAATCCAATTGTTTTTGAGGATGTACAAAGCTATTTATAGAGGAAAATAACGCTAGGGTTAAGTGATAATTCATAGATGTGGAGGGAGACACTTCCGAGATAGGTCTAGTCTATTACAAGATCTAAGTTCGGTTTCAGCAATAAAAATGTCTTATTTTCCTCCGTCTATTTGGCAGTCCACGCGTTGCTACTTGCTACCTCCCCCCGTCTGCCAGTGGCTCCCCTCATTTCCACCCCCACTTCCGCAGCTTCGCCTTCCCGCCTCACTCTCCCAAAAAACCCACCGCCATGGCGCCGCATTTCGTACTGGGTGAGCAAGCAGCCCGAAACCCTAGCTTCACCTACCTGCCCGCGGGCTAACCATTCCTCCTTCTCCCTCCCCTTGCAGGCCCCGGCGTACCGCAGCAGCTGCTCATCCAGTCGGCGGCCGCCGGCGACCTCCCCGCCTTCAAGAGTGCGTGCTCGCTCCGCCGGCCGGGCCCCTTCCTCCGCTGCTTTTTCGCTGTTTTTTTTAATCCCTTTTTGGATTGCATGGTTTAGCTGCGTTTTGGTGCTCGATCGGGAGCTGATTTGGGGGTTGGGATGTGTGTTTTTTTTTCCTTTATCCCCGATCCGCTCGCAGAGTTTGCTCGTATGCTGGACGGCGGGAAGGGGCGGCTCAAGGAGGCGGTGGAGGCCGTGAAGAACCGCGGCGCTGGGGCTCTGCACCAAGCCGCCCGCTACGGGAGGACCGCGATGTGCGCGTACATGGTCGAGGAGCTCCAGGTGGACATCGACGCCGCCGATGAGTTAGGTGATCTCTTCGCCTCCTCGTTTTGTGGAAGAGGAATCCCCGTTTTTTTCCCTTTTTTTTTAAATTTTTTTTTATAGATTGAGGTCTTAGTTGCGCCTCCGTGAGTTGGAGGCTTTGCAAACACTACAGCCGTACAGTCGATTCTCGGAGTTTGGGGTTAGTTGGATTTACGTTACTTTGACGTGCATAGTTCAACCGAAAGAGTTACTAGTACTGTTACAGGCATAACGCAACTCGATGAGGTAATTAAATTGAGCAGGTAATTTCTTAATTCTGATGAATCATCTTTAAAAACTTATTATTTTAGTTTTGTTCTTTTGGCGCTTATCAAGCTGAAATTAAAAGTATGCACTTTTGTTTTACCACATGTCAGGAAATCTACTATCCTATACTTTCACAAGGCAATCTGAAAAATGATCAGTGTGGATTTTCTTTTGCTTGTTACAAGAAATCTGATTTTTTTTTCAATGATTCCAATAGGCGCTACGCCTCTTGGTTATGCAATTTATGGTGGGATTGTGGATACTGTGAGCTATCTTCTTGATCATGGTGCAAATCCAGATAAGCCAAATGAAAAAGGGTGTACCCCTCTCCATCTAGCAGTTGAACAAGGTCCCTCTCAATGCATTTCCTTTATTTTATATGTGCATGGCTGCACAACACTGTTTTTTATATTATTTTTTATTGTTAGGAGAACTGCAAATAATGAAAGTTGCAAAAAATGTAGGTTATCCATTATAAATTCGGAATAGGAAATGACCCATGTAATATTGTTATAAATGGTTATGCTAATTATTATGCTACTAATATCACTCCCACTAGTATTTTAGCACTCTAGTGCTAAACTTCTTCTAATCTTTTATGGCCCTTTTGCATTTCTTCATCTTCCATTTTTAGCTGGGGATGCCATCATTTCCTTTCATATTCCCCTTCCCCCCTTGTCGCTAATGTGTTTTTGTGAGCCAAAGAAAAGGGAATAAGAGAATTGAAATAGATTAGAAAGAGTAGGAGGAGCATTGAAGTTGCTATCTTTTGTTTTTTGAAATGATCACGTATCCTTCACAAGTACCTGTTTAGCATTCATGTACACAGTTGTGTTCTATACAATGAGCATAATGATATGTGCTGGGCATGTTAGAGATGTAATAGATATGTTCTTGTTCTTTTTTTTTTTTCGAGTGGCAGCTATGTATGTCTAATCACAGAACAACTATTACCTGGATGAGGTGGCACCTAAGGTTGCCTGCTAACTGTCTTTCATTGTTGTCAACTCTAAATCTTTGACAGAATTTGTACTGTTACATACATTTTTACTATTTGATAAGTTGGGGAAGCTTATGCATGTTGTTAGAGAGTAACTAGTATTAGTTAGCTGAAGCTAAACAATAATGCATTTAACAACTTAACCAGTACTTGTTGGGTTATAGTTGATGGCAACTATTACTAATTCGGGGAGCTAACAACTTATATTAGTATTGTAACTGTTGCTCTCATCACTAGTTGTCAAAACATGTGAGCACGGGCCCATTTGTTATTTCTCCTGGCACAGAAGATATCAGTTAAAACACGGTTCAAAATGGACATTAGGTGGGAAAAAGGTATTGTCTCTGTATAGGTAATAAAGTTACTAGATTTCACCAATAAAACTGTTGCAGTGACAAATAGCTTGCTATATATTCTACATCGTTACACACTTACACTAATGGATACTCAATATTTCTAATTCAGGACATTGCGAGATAGTAAAGGTCTTACTGGTGAAAGGTGCTAATGTTGATTCATCTTCTGACCATGGGACACCACTGCATGTTGCTGCCTCAAAAAGTCAGGATGGTTGTATGAAGATTTTGTTGGACCACCATGCAGATGTAAGCTTTGTTATATGCTTTTCTTCCCTTGCTTGCCGCTTACATTAAAATAGTTCATGCTACGAGATAATATATTTTAATTTCATCTACATTCATGTAAGATTGGTCTATACTCTATACTTGGTAGTGGTTTGCCAGGCTGTGTACAGACTGAAGTTGTTGGTTTGGTTTATTATATATTGCACACAGGCTTTTGGTTTGTTGTTTGATCTGATAGAAAATGTCTATTGCTGTAAATGTCATAAGCAATCAATTTCTTACCCTGAAAGGAATGCCAGCGATGAAAAAAATTCAGGTCATTTGGATGGAATGAGTATTTTCAACTCCAAACAAAACAATTATTTAGTTGTAAATATGGATGAACTAAAAAGAAAGCTATTTATAGTGCAATGTCAAGGCCTTTGAGACTAGAGGAGGTACTCAACTGCTGCATAACATTGAGGTCTTTGTTGACGTTTACGACGGCCCTGCCCTCCATCTGATGGAAGGCTTGCTTATTAGCAATTGGTTGCATCAAGGAGTTGAGATGTTGGAAGACAGGATAATAAATTTTGGCTTAATAATGGGGACAGAGGAAGTGCAACTTCGGTGGAGTGACCTGGGTGAAGCATTTCTTGACTTGCTGCTACAGTTAGAAAATCCAGATCGGACCAGCAGTTTGACCAGAAAAAGCGGGACCAAGAGCCTTGGTGGGTCTGCTCCAGCCAATCGGATAGTTCAAGCAATCGGTCCATGTTGAATCAGTAAAATACTGGTTAAATTACTGTTTTTTATGTGAACCATCTATGATCAGACTGGCGCAAACTACCCTCTGTTGCGTAAAATTGCAAAAAAAATGCGTATAGATCGGTTTGAATGCATGCCCTGCTTGCATTCAGTTGCCTGCCTTGCCAACTGTGCCGCATGTGCTATTGTGACATAATAGTACTCCCTCTGTCCCACTCACTAAGGCGCGGTCAAACTTGGCATGGTCTTTAAGACTAATCTTTGACTTTAAATTTCTCATATACTATAATATTTGTAGCAACAAAATCATAATCATATGAAAGTAAATTTAAATGACAATCCAATGATATTATTTTCATCAAATAAAATTTAATTTACAATAAACTATTTGTTGTTCAAATATTTGAAGAGTTGAATTTTAAAATGCGTGCGCGCCTTAGTGAGTGGGACGGAGGGAGTAGTATTATAGTGAAAGAATAAGAGGAAACTGATTAATCTGCATTTATTGTACCCAAATACCAAGACAGTGATAAATTTAAAGGTTTTTTTATTGTTCTTATATGATAGGTTAGAGTAAATGTGATTTGTAAATCACATACCTGCACTGGAATTTAACTGTGTATAAATGTATGTGTTCTTTTGTCTGTCAGATATACAAAAAATATCTAAAACAAAACATGTGGTCCAACTGGTGACCCAGTGATCCAGGGCTGAGTATACGATCGTGTTGGGTCTGATAACTATGCTTTATATGATTTATGTGCTTTTGCATGGTACCTATATATCTGCAAACTTACTTGTGATTTTGGTGACATGGTTTGATATTCTTTTTATACCTCTTTCTTTGTCCGCAAACCATCTTCTACTTTCGACATGTATGGGCACTAATTTTTCTTAATTGTCTTATTAGTGTAACAAGACATTCTCTACAGTTTGTACACCTCTCATTGCTGCGATGATGGGTCGCTCACTGAAATGTTGTAAGCTTTTGATTGAGGTGATATACCTTGTTCTTCAAATCCAAACTGAAATTACATTATTGAACTCCTCTTTAGAAGGCAAAACTTGGTGGATATTTAAGTTTTAAATATTGTACAAATCATGACATGCTTATTTAGAGAAAGTATCTGCATTTGTTTTTTGTTAGGCTGGTGCTGATGTTAAGGGTGTTGGTACTTTTACCCCCTTAATAGTTGCTGCAACTGAAGGCTTAACTGATTTCTATAAGTGCTTACTGGAGGGTGGTGCTGATCCTGATGTGCCTGATAAAGTAACTCTTTTCCTTTTTCACTGAATTTTCTTCACTGCACATCGAGTGGTTGTTTTCACTCATGGAAATTATATTATTGATATTCATATCTATCAGATGGTCTATTTTATGATCTCATACTACTATTCGTCTAATGTTTTATTGATAGCTATGTAGATGCATTAATGACAGGACTGTAGTGTTGACACCTATTGAGGTTTTAGCACAATGCACTGTTCCTCGCGTTCTTTTTTCCCCTCTTAGAGAAACATACTGTTTTTTCTGTTAAGAATGATTTGTTAATTTTATGTTTGAATTCAAACTATCCTAGTTGCTCATGATACACAATAATTTGTCTATTAAGAATAATTTGCTCATGATGCCCATGCACATAATTTCTAGGTGCACAACCGAGCAATTACACTTGGATTAGTTTCAGATTTACAGTACACGTTTTTTAGATGGTTTATAACGACAAGCTGAATTTATGCATGCAATATATATATTTTTATAATAATTGCTAGTCAATTTTACTTGCAACTTTACCAATCCGTCATACTTGCTGAATTACTTGCATGCAATCTCTAAGCTAAATTATGAAATAAGGTTGCACTAATATATTAGAAGTTCTAATGTCAGCCTCACAAATGGTGTCATATGCTATGTTATGGTTGAAACCTCAGCGGCATGGTGTAGGTTCTTATTTCAAGAGTGTTTTTTTATTGTGCTATGGTATATATCTTCTAGCTTTTCAGAAAAGGATTTTTTTTCTTTTGAAATCATACATGGATTGTGTGTAGATCTGTGTGCTGGTTTATATGCATGCGCCAGAAATTTCTAATGAAACTGACACTCACTTTGCTTGGCTTCACAGATGATATTATACTGTTTAGTTATTTCAGTAAAAAATACCAATAAAAAGTTAATTTTGCACTGGAAATGCTTAATGTGTAAGTTTTTTCCCTAAAAAAAATGTGTATAAGTTTTGAGCTTTAGATGACTCGAAATCTGCTTAGATAATTTTCAATGTGTTATTCAACAATTTTGGTGATGTGATGAGCAACATTCTTTCTCGTCTTGTTTTAGTCAGATATTTTATGTGCTCATAGCTTCCACAGTAAGATGCAGCATTAAAGGGTGCATCTCACTCGTTTGAGCTGTAACATGTAATGTCTAAAATTCATTCGTACCAGCTCTTGTAGTGAACGCCTGGGATACATGCTATATTTATACCTTTCTGCACTTGTTAATATCTCTCCCCTTAGTAAACTGTCCTGTTCTATTTTTAAACAGTTTGGGTTTCTGCCCATAGAAATTGCTGCACGTCAGAACAGGAGGAAAGATGTGGAGATCCTACTTCCAGTAACTTCTCGTATTCCATCTGTGCATGATTGGAGTGTTGATGGGATGATTACTTATGTAAACAAACAGGTGGAGGTATGAACTAGGTCACCATTGTAATATTTAAGGCTGCTACCTAAATACCCATGCATTTGCTGCGTATATAATAAAATAAAATCGTACATATCCTAATATTGTTTGCAATAATGCTATCTTGCGTCAAACAAGCCCTTCACTTTTATTTCAAGGATTCATGGTGTTTACACTTGCTAATTGTAAAATTATCTATTTATAGAGGAACTGTAAAACTAACTACATGTATGTATGAAAATATGTCTGGCTACTTGAACCTTTTCATATTAAGTTGTGATAAGAATGCGAAACAATTAAAAACAGCAGATGGAAACTTTAATATGTAATATTAAGGAAAAAATCAATGTGCTGGTGGTGGGTGGCAGATTCACTATCACAAGTCCACAACCACTTGATTTTTGGAGTATAGATGTTATTGCTTAGTATTAAGATTGCCTAATTTGCACTAGAGCATTTTTTGTATGTAAACTCTTAAAATACATCTTCCTGACCAGGGTTTTCAATTTCGAAATGGGATTTTATGCCGGGGGTGACCGAAATTACCCAAATTTCAGAAATTTCTGGCCGAAATTATTTGAAAATTTGACTGAATTTGAATGAATTTTAATAAAATTTGACCAAATGCTGGTGGGGGGCGAAATTTCGGAAATTTCGAACCGAAATTTCAAACCCTGTCCCTGACTCAAGATTGATACAAAATTCAAATCTCTACTGAAAAGGGCAACACGATTGGTTAGTCATAAAAAAAATTATCCGTATGCAATTGTAGAAAAAATATTAAAGGATCTAGAAGCAATTGTAGAAAAAGAAATCAATTATCTGTATGCTTCGTCTCTTGGTAATTGGTATGCTTCTTGAAGTTTCAACTACTGCTACTTGAAGTGTAACAGCCTTTTATTCTCCTTTTCGCCTTTTCAAGTATGACTGTGTATCATGAACTCTCTTGTTTCTTTTGTACAACCAAACTGAAGTTGTTAGATCAATATAATTGGTGAAAATTTGGGGTGTGCGCTATGTTGAGGTGGATTTGAGATTTTTGTTTTCCATTCCATTGTCTTATTGTCATGTCACCAGTGTCCTGTTTGTTGACGATCATTGAGTGAAAATTCCCTTACGCCTGGACTTCTTTTTTTTTCTCTAAAAAAATCTTCTTGTCTATGAAAGTAAATTTAAATAGACATGCAGATGATGCAATCCTTCACAAAAGATTCTTTGTTTGCATAGATCCATCCAAATATCTTTTGAAGTGAAGGGGATGGATGTAGAGCTCACAATCATCAACAAGCCATTTAATAACTACAAATTAAGACAATATGGATGCATATTCGAAATATGAATCTAGTAGACCATGGAAACTAGTGCAACCTTTCTACCACTAAAGTTGAACTGTTGTATTTGTTGTTCACACTTTACAAAGATTAAATCTCAGAATGCGGTATGACCAAAAAATCTACGTACTGATTAGCTCTTTATAACTTCCTTTACATGCTTGTCCTCTACTTTATTTCATCTGCTTCTTTTCATTATTTCAGGTTGACCCTTTCTTCAAAATAAGACCAGCTGATCTGAAGTTGGAAGGAAATAGGGCATACATGAGAAAAGACTATCTTACTGCCGCAAAACTCTACAATATGGTATTGCGTTTCACCCTATTCTATTACCCAACTCTTGTATAGTGTGCCAACTCATGATTTGATGACCTGCACCGTTTTGAATCTCTAGCAAGAATTCAAATTAGAGTGTAATTCATGTTTGGGAGAATTGCAAATATACCACTACTTTCACCCTCTAATTCAAAATAGCCATTATAAAACCATCAATTGCAAATTTGCCACTTAAATCGGTGCATGTACATGGCGTATGCCATTGCCGTTTGATTTGGTGCAGTTAAGGGGAAACTAAAGTAAAAAACAAGGGTAACACGATAAGACTATTTTATCTTTCTCAGATTCAATCCCCTATCGGCTCTCTTATGTGTGCTGTGTGCACAACAGAAGCTAGAAACAATCCCTTCTCACTTGATGAACCCTAAAACCCAAATCCCCCATCCCTTCTAAATCATGAACAGATCAACCAAAAATCACCCTTCTAAATAAGAACAGATCAACCAAAAATCGGTTGCAATGAATTAGGAGATGACAATGGAAGAGCTCATGAATGGGTAAGCGACGGCAGCTGGGTGTCGGCGATGGCATGTGGCGTCGGCGGGCGCTGTGGCAGCAGGCCGATGGGCGGCGGCAGCAGGCAGCGGCAGCGACAGCAGCAGCACTAAGCGGCGTCGGCGGCAGCAGCAGCAACAACAGCAGCACCAGCACCATTACCAGGAGGCGGCACCGGCTACACCATCGGCAGCATGTGACGGCGGTAGCATGTAGCAGCAACACTACATCAACAGCAGCAGCAACAACCAGCAAGGAAGACTGTGGAACTAGGTTGTTACAATGCTCATGTCAAGATGATGTCTATGCCAAAATGATGTCAACTTTGCAATTTGTGGCATGGGCATCCTTGTCCTAATTTTTAGAAAAGCAGACCTTTTAACCCTGTTAGTCTAAGCTGTCAATCCAATGGCAAGTAGATTGGGTTCAAACTGGCTTCGGTGGCAAATTACCAAATACAGTTTTTTCAATGGCAAATTCACAATACCGGTTCAATCTAATGGCAAATATGCAATTGACCCTTCATGTTTTTATTAATTCCTTTACTGCTTTAATTTTAAATTATCTTGTGTTTTTACATTTATGTTACTATATACAATACTAATTTCCTGCAAGGTCTGTTAACGAAAACAATCCCAATTGTGATAATGAGCCAATACAATGTTTGTACTACTTTTTGCCTATTTGGTAACAGCAATACATTAAGCCATTAAGGGAAGCACTTGGCATTCTTGGCAACTCTTTGTTACAAAATGTCAAATGGGATTTTGTAACTTGTATATGTTTGTGTTTCGCTATAAAAATCTAATCTGATGTTGACTTTGTATATTTGCTATGTCCCAATGTAGATTTTCTAGACAACTTTAGTTGTAGTGATGTCACACCAGAATGTTCATCTGTTACAAAACCACTTCAACGGTCATATCTCTCTGTTGGTTTGGAAGCAATTGTGATAATTGTTGGTATTTTCTAGGCGATCGAGCACGACCCTGAAGATATGACCTTGTACTCTAACACGAGCGTTTGCTGGCTTAAGATGGGTAAAGGAATGAATGCTTTGGAAACTGCTCAAGTTTGCAGGATATTGCGCCCTGATTGGCCCAAGGGCTGCTACAGGGAAGGGACCGCTCACATGTTCATGAAGGTGAGATGTAATATTCTGTTTGATTTTACTTCTAAGCTGCCGCTATTTGCTCTGGCAAAATCGTTTTTTTATTCATAAACAACACTTATTTTGTTCTCAGGACTATGAAAAGGCCTGCAATGCATTTCTTGATGGTTTCAAACTGGACCCAGCGAATATTGAGATTGAAAATGCGCTACGGTAACGTACTTTATCTCTTGTCCATGTGAAACCTTCGGCAAACATGCTTCACACTGCTACCAATAATACTACCATGATATGATACACATCGCATCTGTGGTTCCACGCCAATACATACATATGCTGTACTTTCCTGCTGAATTGAATCTGTGAAACCTGCAGAATGATCATGCCCCAATCCTCTTTGCAGATACCGTATGTTTCCTCTTTGTAGAATAAGATTGTCTTAATCTTACTGTGCAGGGAGGCTTTGAAATCATTGAAGGCGTCTCGTGCTGCTTGAATTGCCTATCTGTTCGAGAGAGAACTAACTTTTGTACATGAGTAACACTTGTGTTTGCAAAGCCGTCAGCCATGCCACTAGTTGCTGAAGGTTTTCACCAGGTTCATGTATTCTGTGACTCCCATCAGACCACCAGCTAGTATCAATTACACCGTATAATTATATCTTAGTACTTTTTTTACTTGCGGAGAATAGTATTATCGCTGATTATGAACAAACTATTATCACTGATTATGATACAAATCTATATTGTTAGTTGTCGACCTTGTCACTGGGGTAATCAAGCAATTGATAAATACTAGACTTTATTATGATTATATTGTTTTATTATACCCGCATTAATTACACGATAAATACATTAATAATTACAAGAACAGCAATGGATGATGCACTGCATCCGATCTACAGGAATTCTATACACGGAAGTCTACAGTTCTACACTAACACACTACGCAACTCTAACTCTAATTAATACTAGATAGATCCATGGCGGCGCCGCCGCCTCCCCTGCTTGGCCCTGATCCCCACGGACCATCACATGACATCGCGCGCCGCCGCCGCCGAAGTCGGGAAGCCCTGCTCCTGGACGACGGCGACCGTGGCGGCGCGGCGGAAGGAGGAGCAGCAGGGCGAGGACGCGCAGCCCCGGCGGCGGCGGAGGGCGAGGCTGCGCTCCATCACCGCCGACGACCACCCGCAGGCGTCGGCGTCGGCGTCGTGCTCCTCGCTCCGCGGGAGCAGGTGGCCGTCGCGGGCCCTCTTCGCGGCGCCGACGCGGTCGTGGTCGGAGGCAGCAGCCGCGACGGAGACGACGCCGTCGATGGTGGACAGGGCGACCGCGGGGGAGAGCGCGGCCCGCAGCATCAGCAAGGCCATACCCGGCCGGTGGGGACGCCTCGGAGGGAAGAGGGATCGAAACCCTAGGGTGGTCGGCGAGGAGGGAAAGCGAGATGGAGGAAACCCTAGGGCAGAGAGAGCGAGCTGAGAGGTGGGTGGCGGCGCTGTAGCGGGAGAGGAAACCGTTGCGCGGATTTGGCTTTAGATTTATGGCTCGATGATTTGGCTCCAACTCGGAAGCCGTATCTGTTTCGGAGCACCCTGTGTCTCTTGCCAGCTTGGTCGGTGCAGAGGGCAGACCAAGCCGGTACCGATTCGGCTTGGCTCGGGCTCGGCTGGGCTAGCCGGTGTGCTACAAGCCGAGCCTCTCGCTAGTCTGGTGATTCGGTCCCGATGTTTACCTTTTTTTTTTTTTCATTTTGGGATTGTCCGGTATCTTTTGGGATAAGATTAGAATTGCGAGTAAAAAGAACAGAGAATAAAGAGGAAACTGTGAAAAGTTTCACAGGGGCGGATTTAAGATTTTACGATTTTAGGGCGATGGTGCCGCTACTAACTTATAGTGACTATTATATCCTTTAATTAACCTAAAACAAGTATAAAAAATAACAAAAATTTTGACTAGATAAAATTGAATTATATTATCAAAAATAATATGTCGATCATATATATATATATACTTAAAAATACATGCCTACAAGGCTATAAGTAAACATTGCCAATATTTTTCTTACGCGAACCTAATATTGTGAAAAAAAAATCTCTAAGAGACTAGACCAATTTTTATAGGTTGTAAAAAAGAAAAGGTCTTCCAAATAGGTCCTAAAGAATATTTCCAAGTGCTAAAAATCTCTAAAACTCAAAATCCCAAAACGTAAGTAATCAACTGAAGAAAAGCGTGTGCATTCAGTTAGATTTTAGAGACATTAATTGGCTTGCCAGCTTGGTGAGTAGGTTAGAACGAAACTAAGTTGAAATCACATCAATAATTGGCCATTTTGGCAGGTAACAACAAACAAAATCTCACAAACATTGCGCAACGCTACTACTACCTCCATTTTAGATTATAAGGCTTTCTATCATTGTTCGCATTCATATAAATACTAATAAATAAATAAATAAATAAATAAATATATATATATATATATATATATATATATATATATATATATATATATATATATATATATATATATATATATATATATATATATAGATTCATTAACATATATATATAAACTATATATATATAAACTATATATAAATATAGACAATGCTAGAAAATTTTATAATATAAAACGGAGAAAGGAAGTATTACTTTTGAGTAGCGACTCCAATAGCAGTTTTGCGGAAGGAGAGCTCGCAGACGTACAGGACCTGCTGCTGCTCTCCTGTTGTCACTAATCAACTTTTTTACTAGCCAACGCCCAAAACAATCCACTGATGTCACATGGTCTAGCTTACTGGTGTCACTTGTTAAATTCACGTACTCCCTCCGTCCAAAAAGACTCAATTCGTAGATTTTCGTGTCTAATATTTGACCATCCGTTTTATATGAAATTTTTTATGATTAGTATTTTTATTACTGTTAGATGATAAAACATGAATAATACTTTATGCATGACTTATCTTTTTAATTTTTTTCATAATTTTTTCAAATAAAACGAACAGTCAAACGTTAGACACGGAAACTCAGGAATTGAGTTTTTTTTTAGGACGGAGGGAGTAGGTACATGGACTGAGCTAGCTCCGCCCCTGAAGTTTCTTGTGGCTTTCCGATGCTAAAATGTTGGGAACAAGCGAAGTGAGCGTAGCTTAATTAGTTATGTTTTTTAATCAATTATATAGACTTAAATCCTAGATTTGATACGGGTGCTTAGGGCTGTCAACGAGTCGAGCTCGAGCGAGCTCGTCTACCTAGACTCGAGCTCGATACAAGCTCAAGACGAGCCTATAAAATGTTCGAGCTTGACTACCAAGCTTGACTTTTAAGTAAAACAATTTATATTTCAAGGATAATATTTAAAAATAATTGATTTCTAGTGCACCATATTAATAGAAGAGAAAAAAAGGAATAAGATGAATATATGATGCCAATACAAGGCACTTATTTAATATCCTAATTTATTAAATAACAACAAATATCATATATTACTAATTTCGTTGGAAGCTCGAGCTCAGCTCGACAAACCTTGTGAGCTTTGTGAGAGGCTCGGGCTTGGCTCGTCTAGAGCTCGAGCCAAGCTCGAATCAAGCCTTGGACGAGTCGAGCTCAAGCAGCTCGCGAGTCTCAAGCTTTTTTGATAGCCCTACGGGTGCTCGTATTTATGACTAATTATTATTTTAGAGGTAGGTGACATATCCATCGACAACGAGGCATCCGTGTTGACTTCGACAAACTCAAGATACGCTGTTCCAGTTTTTTGGATGTGCTCATGTAGATAGTGTGTGTGTTCATATATGTGGGCGTACATGTACTGTGGGCGTATGTACTTGTACTGTAAAAAATATTATGAATAAGGATTTTGTTTTGATTTTCCAAACCATGGACGGCTAGTATCTTTTACTGCACCCAAATTTAGCTCATGTTTCCGTTGGTATAGTCATTTCGAGCTGACATGTCATATTGAGATTTCTTTTTCAATCCATCGTCCGTCTCAAAATATGTAGCTATTTTTAGCATTTAGATTTATCTCTTCTCAATCTATTTCCATGTTTCAATTAATCACAACCATCTCTTATTTACTTTTCTCACATACTTTATCATTTAAACCAACAACAACCATTTCTTACATCAATCTTAACCCTTCCAAAAATAGACAGCATAAGTAACTGTATCTTATTTTGAGTCAAAGGGAGTAATATAGATGATTTAAATCTTTGCTAGGATTAGGTCTAAATTTATAGGCCGGGGGTTTGGCTCCATATTTGGAAAGTGGATCTAGTTCGGGCTCGCATGGCATGCTACGGTACAAAGTGTCATGACCAGAATTAACCCAACAGGCATTCCATACGTGCGTGTATTATTCCTTGTCCCAGGAGGCAACGTACACCAAAAGTTGATACAATTCAGAGTTTAACAAGCGGAAACGTAAATAGTTAATTTATTACATGTGCGACGAAGGCCCAGCACACTCGAAGATAAACGAAAAACAACGTAAGACTAGGGCGACGACCACAGGCGCTTGACGGCAGGCACGAGCTAGACACCAAAGCCTTCATCCTCCAGGAACTCCTCTTCTGGGTTGGGAAAAAATTGAGCAAGATTGAGTACAACTACCATACTCAACAAGACACACCCACAAATACAGAATAAATGCAACGGAGTACAAGGGGGTTATAACATAGGGGTTAGGATTTGCAGTAAACAACATTTAGAAGACATTTAGTTGCTCAGGGCCATTTTGTAAAGGTGATCCTAAAGCTACACAGTGTTATTAATCAAGGCCGTGAACCCACGTGAACCTGCCTTAACCCAAGGCTTATGATGATTCAGACCGAACTGGCAACCAGACCCAGGTCCCAACCCAGGTCCCAGCTCGTCCCAAGCCAACCCAGGCCAACCATATCACCTTTTAGTTGTTTAAGCAAGTTTTAAGAAATAAACCACTAACTTGGGTACATTGCTAGGCTTGTCTATAAACGAGCGCGCGGCTATTCGAATAGATTATACTTTGATCAGAGGTGTACATCTTTACCCACAATACACGTCTTTCTCACGTGTAACCACGCGCCACATACCACCATGGCATACGGACGGAAGACATGACATAGTTCCCAACCCATCCTAGCCATAAACAAGAGTACCGACCCAACCTTGGCTACGGTCGGAATCCCGAGACAGGTAACCAAGGGTGAGCCCGTAGCAGCAGGACACCGGCCCTGTGCCATGACATCTCGACTATCGGGCCGCAGCTCGTGTAGCCTTCATTTGTCCTAGAGATGTCCATCGAGCCCCGACTTCGTCCATCCCTATCCGTGTACTATTGCCTATGACCAGACTGAGCCACAAACTATATCTTACCCACTAGACATGTGGAAGTACGGTAGTGCTTTGCAACAGAGGCTCGAAGACCAGTCCTTATAGTGGCCGAGGTGCTACTATCAAAACCATGCACCTCGAGCCAAGCCTAAAACCATTTTTGGGGTTTTGAACAGAGGAGAAGGTGTGTGTCCAGTTCCACATAAGCCAACCATTCCATAAGGTACAAATGATATGAGAACTCCCAAAGTCTAGAATTATAAAACCACCTAAAGTTTGTCTAATTTAAATGGCGAAGCATCTACCTAAAATTGGTACTAGTGTGACCATAATATAGTACACACCAGTGAGGTTTTGGTTACTCTAGGGTGAGCAAGGTAATAACAACAATAACAATAATAATAAGGTCATAACAGAGGTTAATAGGCATGGCTAAGTAAAACAGTGATAACGCGGGAATTTAAATAAAGCGATAATGCATTAATTCAAAATAAAATAATTTTAAAGCATGGGGCAACAATATATTCAAAGGAGATGTGACTTGCCTTGCTCGCTTTCCCAAACATCGGCTTCAACCTCCACGTAGAGCGGATCTTCCGAAGTTACAGCGTCTACACGACCAACAGAAAGGAAAAAGGCTTTTACTCTAATAAACTCCATATAATAAGCAGAAACAAAGCACAAAAATGGGTTCTTGACTCCATAAGGAAAAATTAGAGACTTGAACGGTCCAATTCCGAGTTCAAACGACCAAGTTATGGCCATTTGAAGTTTATATGCTCTTTAAATGAATATTTACGAATTTCTTCATTTAAATTTTAATTAAAAATGAGTTTATTGCGTCAGCCGAGGAGAGGGGGCGCGCGGACCGGGTCCACGGGAGTGGGGCCCACGCAGTAGCCTCACGGTCCACGGTGGACCAGGTGCACCCGGGCTCACACCGCCCGGCGCCGTGGGCCCCACGCATCAGCCGCACCCGAGGGCACGGGCGGCTGACGGCCGGGCCCCACGCGGCGGCCACACGGCACGCCTGGAGGCGGCCACGTCGGCGCGGCCGGCGGGAGGCGGCGCCCGCGCCCCTATGGTCGTCGGTGGCGGCCATAGGCGCGGCGGAGCGGCGGCCGAGAGAGGGGAAGGGATGGGGGAAAGGAGGCGGCGGTCCACGGCTCACCCCGGGCGACGGCGGCGACAGAGGAGGCGGTTGGAGCAGAGGGAGACGGTGGTGCGGCTCGGGTCGACGGGGACGGCGGCGTTCCAGCGGTGGGCGAGCTCGGCGAGGCGGTGGACGGGGTCGGCGGCGGTGCGGCGAAGCCGGAAGAGGCGACGCTGAGGCGGGGGATGGTCCCGGCGAGCGGCTAGGCCCGCCGGAGGTCGACGACGACGGCGGAGAGAGGGGACGACGGCGCAGGCGCGAATTCGACGGGGAGAAGGGGCGGCAAACGGCGAAAACGGAGAAGGGAGGTGCGGGGAGGGTTTAAATAGGGTCGAGGGAGAGAGAGGGCGGCCGGAGGGGAAGGAAACCGGCGTGGGAGCAAATCCGGCCGTTTGAATGCGGGAGGGGGAGGGGAAAATGGGGGGAAAGAGAGAGGGAATCACGGGAAACATTTCCCCCCTCTTAATTGCACGCGGGAACGGCCGGGGGCGGTAGATTTGGCGGCGGCGGCGGCGCTAGGCGCGGGCGGAGGGAGCGGCGGGAGGAGGGTGATGACGGGTGGGCCCCACCCGTTAGCGAGGGTGGCGGGCGGGCCTGCCCGTCAGCGGGGCGCACGCGGGGAGGGGCCGAGTGGGCCGTGGGGAAGAGAGAGGGGGGATGGGCAGAATTCGGCCCAGAGAGAGAGAGTGGTTTTTTTTATAAAACCTTTTTAACTTTGTTTATTCCTTCATAATTATTATTTGTGCTCTGAAAATTCCACTAAAATTTATTTACACATTTTAGGCTTTTAGGAAATATACAAAAATCCTCCAAGCCTTATTTGACTTTTAACTTTACACATTTTAATTTTTGGAGGCATTTAATTTGATTTTAATTGTTATAGGCATAATTTTAAGGATATATTTTAGGGTCGTTTTGGGACGTGACACAAAGCTTGTTGAGTAGGCTCTGCTTGACTCAGGTTCTTCCTCGGCTTGGCTTGGCTTTGTATTTTTTTAGCCCTTTTTAGATATAACTAGAGTTTCTGGGGAAAGTGATAATATAAAGGGAACTGTGATTTTTATATGTGCGGCAATGTTTCGAAGCAAAAAATCTATTAATTTCTACCAAAATAAAACTGTTAAAGAAAATTCATGGTGCTTATTTTGCCTTTTTATCGTCCATCATGTACGCCGAGTTCAATACGCCCTCAACGTCATCCACATGGCACCGAGATTGCCATTATCTGCATCAAATAAAAGTCCAGATCGAAAGCTTTTTGACTCCACACGTCTCCGTGTTCCCCTGCAACTACTACGACCTTGCCTCCATGTCCCTCCACGACAACAATGACCACGCTTCGCTCCTCGTATCCCACTCCACGATCAGCAATGGCTCACAACAACCATCCCCAACTCCACAACGCCTCATGCTCACGGGGTGCTTCCGTGGTGGATCCTCCACGGCGGTCACTGGTGGCAATCATAAAGGGCTTCGTCGCAATGATCTCTTCATCGTTGTCTCACTCCACAACAAATAACGGTCTTAGTATTACTAGTGTTACTGTTATTCTGCCATGCCAGTCTCTTACTATGCCGTCGTGGATCGCGTGGTAAAATAATACTGATACGCTGGTCAAGAGGTTTAGTTTTCAGAAATAATTTTAGAAAGGTTTATTAATCTTTACCTATTATAAAAGTTCAAGGCGTTTTTGCCAGAACTTTGGTACGTCATCCGTGTTTCAAACGGTTTTAGTTTTATGTTTCGGTTTTAATCTATATCTCTACTACAAGAAATTCCTGTCTTATGTAAAAAAGAAAGAAAAAAAGGTCCGACTCAAAAAAGGTAAATAAATAAAGAAAAGAAAGTCCGACTTAACGAGTGATTAAAAAAAAGCTTTCGTCGTTGTCAGTAAGAAAAAAGAAAAAAACATCTCTTATCCGACTCATGTAGAAAAAGGGAAAAAAAATCTCCCAATAAAAAAAAAGTCCGTTTGGTGTTTTTTTGGCACTGGTATTTTTTCCCTTTTTTCTTTGCACGCAAAAGAGTATTTTATGCGCACACGCTAAGGCTTTTGGTTTTTTTTCCCTTTTATTAATCCGATCTATTCACCGCGCGCCTCAATCTTTTTTGTCGCCGGTTTTTTCTCCCGTGCGCTTTTTGTTTTTCTTATCCAGTTTTATAATCCCATCTGACCCATCTGTTCGTCGCACGCCTCCCGAAGTGAACCCTAGCGCCGCGCCGCCGCCATATCGATCATGTGTTTTCTCCTCCAATTTGATTGCAAAAATCTCCATGATTTTCCCTTTTATTCGGTTTTAATTGCCGGATTTAATCTCTGTTCTACAATTGCCGATGATGACGATAATCTTCCCGGTCATTTTAATCCCGAGTTTTACGCTCTAATCTTGAGGAAAACAGAAAGAGAAGATCGAGTGGATAAAAACCCTCGACCAATTTTGCACAGGATTATCTTCGGGAGGTTGAAGATGGTAGTATATTCGGGAAGTTGAAGATGGTAGGGTCGAAGAGAAGCAGGCTAAATGGAGGGAGAGAGAGCGGACTAGCCTAGCCAGAAAAGGAAGGAAGGCTTTCGGCCAAAAACCCATGAAATATTTTCATTATTTTTTTAATTTTAATCTATAGTGATCCCAATGTTAAGATTTTTATTAACTTTTTCAATTATAGTGTATAAATAGTGATCCTAATATTTCAATTTATTACTTAGCTCTTAGTATATCACTGAAAAAAGTATTTACCCAGACATTTTTCTAGTAAAATTAAAAAGTAAAAAAAAGTCCAAAAAGTAAGAAAATTTCGCGCAATCTCCGCTACACTCGCACACGGCACACGCCGTTCCGTCCGCCTCGCTTCCTTGCTTGGCTCCTTCCCTCCTTCCTTCCCGCGTACGCCTCCCGCCACAACTTGCCCATATCCGAATCCCCAACCCCGCAAACCAAAACCCTACACCACCACCACCGCCACCACCGCCGCCTCCCTCTCCAACCCCGCCGCCCGCCATGGCGCCGCCTCGCTTCCCTCCCTCCTCCTCCGCCGCGCGCCTCCCGCCGCGATCCACACCGCCGGAGCCCAGGCCCAGCCCCCCAGCCGCAGCCGCCGGCGCCGCCGCCCTCGCCCCCGGCTCGCTGGAGGAGGTCCTCCTCCAGGCGGCCTTCGACGGCAACCTCCGCCTCGTCAGGAGTACGCGCCAACTCCGACTGGAGCTCCCCTCTCCGATCGATCTCCCGCTTCGTTCGTCGGTGTCTCGTCGCTGATTTGGGTTCGGGCCGGGGTGTCCCTTGCAGAGATGGCGAGGGCGCTGGACGAGGGGGACGGCCGCCGCCTCGGCGACAAGGTGGGGGCCGTGAGGGACGGCAACGGCGTCGGCGCGCTGCACCTCGCCGCCGGCCGGGGGAGCCTGCCCGTTTGCGGGTACCTGCTCGAGGAGCTTCGTGTGGATATTGACGCCGTCGAGGACAGAGGTGTGTGACGTGCGCTTCTCTCTTCGAGATTCCTAGTTTTTATGTTGATAGCTGAGTGTAGCTGCATTGCTCTACTCTGGTTGATCGTGCGCTCAAATTGGTGGCAAAACAATTGCGTCAGGCTTTTCTCGGTTTCTGGTATCGTTGGTTGACAGGTGAAACGGCCTTGACATTTGCGATCAATTCCGGGAATGCGGACATGGTGCGGTATCTTCTTGATCATGGAGCTGATACTGAAAAGCTCAACAACGATGGACTTACTGTTCTCCATTTTGCTTCTGGCGAAGGTGTATAATCTATGTTTATTTATATCTTGCGTGCACGCTTCTGAAGTTGTTTTCTACTGATTAATCAAGAGGGATTGACGTAACAAACATGCCGTCGTGTAACTAAACTCTACTTTCTTCTAATATATTGACGTGCAGTTCTTTTGCGCGTTCGCGAAAAACAAACATGCCATGGTCTGGGGATAAATTTAGGACAACACGCATTTTATTTTATCAGTCTGTGCAATAGTTTCTCAAAAACCTCGTGTTCTACATTTTCAGGGAATAGTTAGTATTGGCAATCCGTGCATATATTGAAAATTTCAGCCAATTTATGAACTGGATTGGATCATACAATACAAAAATGACATGATCGACACAAAGGAATTATGCAGGTTTGGGTCCTTTGTAATAGTGCAAGTGTGTAGCAGTGCTACTCATGTAGTTTTCTTACTGTATGAGGACTACAATGTGGAATGGCTCGGGCATTGGTCATGTTGATCCAATATCAGAGTTATAACCTGTTGCATGTAATGGTTGTCCCCAACTGGTAGACCGTTGTTGTGTTGTTATGTGAGATTGTCACGCCCGGAAGTTTCCCTCTTTTCCTTGCTTTAAAAATTTGTTAAATAAATTGTCCGAAGAAATTGGTTTGATTTAACCTAGAGCTAATTCCTTAATTAATAAATGCAATTAATAATTGGAATTGGCATTGTGGGATTTTTCTTGAGTTCCACGTGTCACAATATATTAACAGGATTTTTAGTGGAATTTTCAGAGCCTTGGAAATAATTTTAACCAATTAAAAATCACCAAAGTGCAATTTTAAATCCCAGGAAAAATCCTTTCTTCCTTTTCTTTTTCTTTTTCCTCCTTTTTCCTCTTCTTGGGCCGTCGGCCCAGTCCACCCCACCGCCTGCGCGCGCCCATCTCCTTCTTGGGCCGGCCCGCGCCCCCTCCTCCTCCCTTCGGGACGCCGACAGGTGGGCCCCACCTGTCGGGTCGTCCCCAACCTCCAGCTGTGCGCCCACGCCGGCAACCGCCGTTGCCGCTCCACCTCCTCTGCTCCTCCCGCGCCCACACCGCGCCATTCCCGCGTCCTCCCCACGACGCCGCCCACGCCCCGTCGCTCCCGCCTCGTGCGCGCGCTATCGAATCCCACCCCACTCTCTCTCTCTCTCCACCCCACGTCGCCGGCGGTTTCGGCCACCTCCCCGGCCACGTCCGCCCCTCCCTTGCCCATAAAAACCGTCACCCGAGCTCCCTCTCTCGTTTCCCCCATTTCGCCGTCCTCTCCCACGCCTTCTACCGCCCTCGCGCGTGCACCTGAGCTCCTCTGCCGTTGCCGCCATCTCCAGCCACGCGCTGTCGCCGCTAGGGCCTCCGCCGCGCCAAGCCGCCGCCGCCGTTAGCTCCGCCGCCGCGAGAGCTACCTCGGCCGCCACTCGCTTGCCGCTAAACGTCGCCAGAGCGCTGCCTCCCTCGCACGCCGGTGAGCTCTCCATTTCCGCCCAACTCTGGCCGGCCGTTCTAGTCGCCGTGGTCATCCTTCCCTTCTCCTAACCCAGTCATCGCCTTTCCCAGGTTGTGCCCGACCCCGTCCACCGTTCACCGAACCGCCGTTGCCGCTCGTCTCTTCCCGCGCCGGTCGCCGTCATCGCCTCGGTGAGGGATCCCCTCTCCTTCTTCCTTTCGTCCCTCCCATGAGCGCCGCCACCTTTCGCGCCGTCCGCGCCGCCTCCCGTGCCGCCGCTTGCCGTCGCCGGCGACCGCTCGCCGCAGCCGCTCCCCATGGTCGGCCGGCCGGTTTTGAAGCCGAGCCGTGCCTAGCCGCCGCCGTGCCGTCCGATCGGCCTCCCGGCCGATCTGGACCGTCGGTCCCGTGGACCGGCGGTAGACCACCCGCGTGGTCCCGGTCCACGGTGGACCTGCCGCCTTGTGCCGCTGACCCATGGGGCTCGCATGCCGGCGCCCCCTCCCTCTCTCTTGAGCCGCTGACGTGCGGGGCCCACATGTCGGCGTCCCCTCCCCTTGTTGACGTCAGCCCTGGGGATTTATTGCGAAATAAATAATTAAGGACTTTTTCTTTATTAGTAAAAACACAGTTTATCTTCTAAAATTCATAAGTAATTCATCCGAGCTCCGTTTAAGTCCATTCAAGTATCAGTAAATTCATAAAAATGCAAAGAATCCATTAAAAATGATTTTGTTCCCTGTTTTAGTAGTCTTATAGCATGTTTTGCTTGTGTGCTTTGTTTGTCGCGTAGTTTTCGGCCGTTTCGTCGATCCGCGGTATCTCGAAGACGTTGATGTGGTCTTATCAGTGCGAGAGCAAGGCAAGTCATGTATTACATTTGATCATATTGTACCCTATTTACAAATATCCTGCATTTCTATTAAATGTTGCATTCTTTTTCAATGTCATGTGGGATGGGTCCTATTACTCAGCCATATATTGTTTACCATATGCCATTGATAACTTGGGTATCATAATGATTAGATGTTGGTTTAGGAAATGCTTAGCCATGCTTTGTTCAACTAGTACACAAATGGGGATCACATTATTACATAGACTTTGGCTATTAGCATAGTTTTGGATTGGTGCCACCGCAATGGTGTTAGTTAATTAAAATACATTGAATGGTGGGCTGTTGGTGTATGGTTTTGCTGGTCGCACCCATAGCAATTAAGGACCGGTTCACGGGAAACCCTGGGAGACTTACCGTGCTTACCACAAGTGGGAGTGGGTAACTGCTTGATCTGAAGTATAGCTCGACCCTTTCCTAGGCACCGGTGGCGAGGGTGGGCGTGATGGAGTTGGGTCGGCCGGGGTGTCCGGTTGTCTAGCTGCCGGATTCACCGCAGCGCAAGAGGGGACCGCCCACTGCCTTTTGAGGGGTGGGGTGAAACCTTAGCGTGGTGTGGATGGTTAGGGGAAGGTTATGCGGAGGGTCTTGTCACGATTTCCCCCTTTGCAGTATCATGGTGATACTTCAGGGCATGGCGACATGTGTGGAATCGTGTCTTGTGGGGACAGTTGTACACCTCTGGCCAGAGTAAAACTATTCAAATAGCCGTGCCCGCGGTTATGGGCGATCAACCAGATTCATCGTAATTAGTCTCACCCCTAGTCTAGCTTAATGAACTGGTGTAGTTCAGGTGGTTGGTTGGGCCTGTTGCAACGTGGTGTAGCGTTGGACAGTGATTGGTTAATACTACTTAATTACTACAATTGTTTTACTGTTTTCAACTACTGTTTTTAAACGCTTGCTTTATGCAAATGAACCCTTAGCCTCCTTTGGATATATCCTGCATCATATCTGTTCTTCCGGTATGACTTGCTGAGTACAGTGGGTAGTACTCAGTCTTGCTCTCTTTTCCTCCACACCAGAGCTGAAGATCTTCCTAGTGGGAGCTGTCCTGACGAAGTTGGTTTCGTCGCTGCCGTCAAGGGATGCCTGTAGAGTGGAGTCGCCCCGCTGCTGAAGTCAAGCTTCCCGGTTTAGCCCGCTGTTATCTTTTCCGCTGCATTTGTAATCTTTTCTATTTTTGTAAGACGTGGATCTGTATGTCAACAATTGTCGTTTGTGTACCCTGGCTGGTCCTGGACAGGGATTTAATGCACATTCAGCTTAGAAATTCTGGTTTGTGAATTTCTGGGTGTGACAGAGATGCACAATCATCTTCATTGTTAGGTAACGTCTTCAAGAAGTTTATTTCATGTTAAATTGCTCTTTTTGAAATAATACAATTTGTATACTGGGATGAGGCCTTGCTCTACATCAATTGCTCTGTTGGTGGCTCTATAAATCTGCATAATTATCTCTAGTGAGCCGATCATAGCAAGCAGCATTTCCTCAGACACCTTTACAATATCTTAGGAACTTCTTCCAGCTGTATTTATCTTGGCATAAGATTTTTTGTTTCATTGTGTTGTTGACAGTATGGACACTTGCCTATAGAAGTTGCCGCACTTTGTGGTGCGCGGAAAGATGTTGAGACCCTATTTCCTGTCACTTCTCGTATTCCGTGTGTGCACGATTGGACTGTTGATGGAATCATTAATTATGCAAAGTCACTGCCTGATGTGAAGGTTTGATCTGAGAACTTCATTGTGTTACTGGCGTGCATGTTGACTTGTAGTACTATCTTGGAGATAGATTTTTCCCTTCTATGATTTCTATATTCACGCCCCTGACCTTTAAGCATTCAAACCTTCTTCCTGAAAAACATCTTAAGTGGCTAAGAAATTATTTTGATTGTTATTAGGTGAATACTTAGCATGATAGTCATCTTTCTGTAAGGGCTAAACTCCCTGTAAACCAGTTTATTGTGTTCTCTGTGTGCTGTTCTTTCTTGCTTGGATCAAGCTCACTGACCAACTTGTCAAATCGATTTCAATATTCTGTACTTTCGAACTTTTAAATCAACTTCTACATCTGAGTATATCTAGTATAGTCCCTCTCCCAAAATAAATGAAACCCTCGTGTCCTGAGAAAACTTTAGTGGTGAGGGGAAAAGACTAAAGTTTCCCAGCTTAATAGGAAGGTAGTATTGGTGGATGGGTAAGTAAGGGGTATTGAAGGTATAAAATTTCTCAATTTGTGAACCGAGGGTAGGCAAGAGGCTAGAAATCAATTTATTTTGGGACAAGTTTTAAACTCTAGAAATCAACTTATATCCTAATATGAGATCAAAGAAAGAACTTGAATTCGAAGAAAAAGAAAAGAAAGGAAATGACTTTTTTTAGATTATAGATGCCCAAAACAACAAACAAAAAAAGAACTGTGGTAGTTCTTGACATTCGTCTATGGTATTGTACACTACGCAATTTATATAAAACTTGCAACTCAGTTGTCAGTAATGCATACGGCATAATTTTTCATGGCATATTATATGCAAGCATTTAGCAGTATGGTAGTTGGATGTTGTGACCTCCTTGCATCATCAAGTTGTTTTGAATTGATGGATGTAGCAATTTACGATAAGAGACTGTTCTAGAGAGCATACATGTCTAACATTTATCTCATTGAACTTGGGGGGTATCTACATTTTTCATGTTCAATTTCCCATCCTCATTGAACTTGGGGATTATCTACATATTTCATGTTCAATTTCCCATCCTATGTGGTTTGTGATCTAGCAAATGCCAATTGGCCATTGGACATGGGATCTTAAAACATCTCGCTTTTCGGTCTTTTAGGTACATTATTCTAAAGCTTTAGTGACTTAAAATATTGCTAGTGGGTGCCACTAGTAAGAATTATTAGAGGGGGATCACTTGTTGTCTTACAGACATTTGGAACTGTTGAAAGTAAAAATGCAATTTCTTATGACAATTAATATTGCACACATTTATAATGGAAAAAGCAAAAAATATAGGAGTTCACTGGTTTGTCTTAAATTTGCTTGAGTATGCTTTTTCTAAATACGTTCATAAGAAATATCTTGAAAGTTCCAAGGTCTACATGACTCACTGCTACTATATACTAGTGGGTGCTTCTTGGCATGCTGTAGAGAACATGATATGGCAACATCAGTACTGTAGAACTGTAAATTAGCAGTAGTATGACGGTAAAAATAGTGAGGTGTAACAATCACATGATTCCCTGCGTTGATTTGGCAACTGCTTCATGAAACTATATAAAAATATATTTACATCTTTCATTGGCTCAAAGATAAAAATATAATAATTGATGCAACTGAGTACTGAGCATGTGGGCTATAATGTGTGGTAATGAGCCTTATATTTCATTTGATTTTTCTCAATGTTTCAGGATGAAGAGTTTTGCGAAGCTATGCTTGATATGGGAAAATTTCAAGGCCGTGAAGCAGTCAAGAATAAAGATTATCGTGGTGCCATGCACATTTATACCAAGGTACATTATTACAGCTTCATATTAAGATGCATCTATTTCCGATATAATTTTTCCTTTGATATTTGAAATATCACACATTATTTTATATCTTTAAACTAAAAATACAGACAGTAGATTGAATGTGAAATTGAATCTTCAACCGGGTATAAATAATGTATTGAGATGTCACTGGTCAACTGTGGTAGGGCATGCAACCTTAACTGTTTGTGCTAATTGCTTGTCTGGTTGTAGGCTATTGCTCTCAATACTAGAGATGCATCTTTGTTCTCAAATAGGAGCCTTTGTTGGCTGAAATTGGGTGAGGGGGAGAAGGCTTTGATAGATGCTGAAGCTTGCAGGATGATGCAACCAAACTGGCCAGAAGCCTGCTACCGTCAAGGAGCTGCTCTAATGTTACTGAAGGTGGGACATAAATGCTCTGATCATCTTTTGAAGATTTTGTAACAGATCGTTTCGTATGTTCTAATCTTTATGCATTCAGGATTACAAAAATGCATGCAGCTCATTTCTTGATGGTCTCAAGTTGGAGCCAGAGAATGTTAAGATGAATAATGCATTAAGGCTGTGTTTAGTTCAGCGCAAAGTATGAATTTTGGTTGAAATTAGAGATGATGTGACTGAAAAGTTGTGTGTGTATGATAGGTTGATGTGATAGAAAATGACTGAAGTTTGGATCCAAACTTTGGATCTAAACACAGCCTAAGGTAACCTTAGTCCCTTCAGCTACACTGAAATGGCCCTTTATAAAACATACTCATCTCAGTAACTGGAAATGTGCAGGGAGGCTTTGCAATCCTTGAAGATGTCAGGCAGCGTTGATATGGAACCTCTGGATTAACATTATCGAAAAAAAATAGATGGGGAGCTTTTTAAGGAGTATACTTGTCTAAAGTTAAAGAAGCGAGTTGCTACCTTTTACAGTTTACTGGTTCCTAGGATACCTGCATATGTTTCCGATGCCTTAGAGAAAAGATAGCGGTCTATGTAAGTTTTATTGTTAGTACGCCCTGATGAATCATCAAAATCCGTAAATCTCCCTCCACTGTGATTATGATCCTGATGTAAATACTGTTTATCTTCGGTCTCCATATCTACCAATATAAATATATACAACTTGTTGGAGCCCTGAAGTATATTGCTGCCTGATCAGATGCCCTGGAATTCAAACGCTTGCAGCATGCCATGTTGTGATAGCTGTTCACAGTTCACAAGAAGAGCAGCATGCACAACTCTGGCAGTCCATGAGTCCCTAATTGCTATGCCATTTACTCCACATTATGATTATCTAATGATATGTGCTAGTGATATGTTTTAGGAAGAAAATTAATTTGGTTACCAACCCACAGCTCCTAGACCTCATCAAGGTTCATTTTAGCGTACTCTGTCAAGGTTTATTGGGAGCATACAGTCGGGTGTCGGGATATGTTATGCTGAACCTCTGTGCAGTATAAATTTTTCCTCTTGTGCATAAATCCTCCAGACTACTCCCTCCGTTTCAGCTACAAGATATTATAACTTTGGTTAAAGTCAAACTATTAGTTTGACTAAGTTTATAGACAAATATAATAATATTTATAATATGAATAGTTTCGTTAAATCAATAATTGTATATATTTTCATAATAAAATTTGTCTTGAGTTAAAAATATTTTTTTTCTATAAATTTAGTCAAACTTAAAGTAGTTTGACTTTAACTAAAGTCAAAACGCCTTTAACTTGAAACGGAGGTAGTACCATTTTAACTTTCTACCGCTATAAGTAGTTTCAAGTTCAACTACTAAAGTAAAGTACCATTCTTAGGTTTATTATTACCTACCCTGCTTCTCATAATAGTGCTGCTAGTGTATTTTACATGCTCCGAAGATTTGTTTCCTTCACCATTTCATTGCCCATTTCTAACCCATTTTATTCATGTTGACATTTTTGGGGTATTGGTGGTGGCAGGGTGTGACAAGTGATGACAAACAAGTAAATTATCTGTACATATATGTGCGTGTATCTACTGCTTGGGATCTGGGAGTGTGGAAATTACCTTGCTACTGGTAATGACTCGAGTATAGTGCCTGCCTACTTCGTGCTAATGACGATCCAGTACTCATGATCATGTGCTTTGTGCTCTTGATCTGATCTGCTGCTGGCTCTACCCTCATCGTCAGCTTGCTAATCACAGGTTCTTCTCTCCCCCATTTAAGTTGGTGCTGATCTTGTCCAAGTCATATATTCCCCTGACATCCATATACTAATTATGGACACTGAGATTAATTGTAAATGCACAGTTTGTACCTTTTGTTTTTTTTACCAAGATATATGAGACGTCACATGGCTACCGTACCACATAGTCCAGAGCACCATAGTTCACATAATGCAAAAGAAGTAAGGTAATACAAGTCCATCGATAATGCAACACTAGCCATCACGGGTGAGGTGTGAAGGGCATTGTTTCAACTTGCTATAATAATAAGTACCACCACTCTGCTTGACGGCCATGCCCTGCTTCAAACCTTAAGAGTCAGGCTGCGGTTGCAACACCCTCACCTGGAACTTCTTTCTCGCCTGCTCCCAAAATTCCATCCCTGGTACAAGAGTGCATCTTAGTTAAAATATGCAGAAGTTTATTATATCAATTACGTTGATCATAAAGTAAAAGGCCCTCAAATAGAATTCTAATGATAAACACGTGTGGTGGACAAACAACTTTCCTATACTCTATGACAGCAGAATTAACATCACTATTTTTTTTATCGGGAAACAGTGGGGGAAGCCCCCACGGTTAATTTTCATTATAAATAGAAAAGAAAAACTATACAAAGAGAGTGCAAATTACATTAACATAACTATTTTTGTTCGTACAATCTCTTTGTCCAACTGTTGAGTTTCTTTTTGTTTTGATTCTGGATTTTCACTTGCATGCTTCCCAAGCTCCTAAACGGCGGTGCGTTTTGTGCAAAAGTTTTTAAAATTAAATTTTCTTGGAATACTTTTCTGCAACTTTTCAAATTTGTAGTAGTTAATTCATTCCTTTATACCCTCAAATAGCTATCACAAAAATCAGATTATCTATCAGTCCATCAATTTCAGCTATCTCAAACAGGGCCGATGTATTGGCATTTTTTAGGGACGGTCGTCAACTCTTATATTCCCTCCTAAAGGATGCAACATGGGATTGTTTGGATCCTTAGCCAGGGCGAGCAACTGCTAGGCTAGGCGAACTAGCTTATATTTTTTCTTATTGTATGTGTTATGGAAATAATTTTGGCTTCCAGTTAAAAAGAATGAAACCCAAACAGCAAATCATGTTCAAGTACCAGAAGAAAACATCGCTTCATTGGTACACATTTTTTTTGGCAATAATATGTCCCAAACTTTTACACCATATGGCATGCAATGGAACGCATGGATAAATCATGGCTATGAAACAACTGATCAGCAAGGGCGTGTAACATTATCCCCTCAAAAATAAGCAAACTATTGGGATCATTTGGCCCTTTAGCTGGGGTGAAAATACAAGGTTAGGCAATTAGTGTATCGATATTGCACATGTCATGTTTGATGGAAATCATATTAGTTCTGATGAAAAATAATAAACTCTAAAGAGCAAAGCAAAAAATACGAAGTAGGCATGTGTACCACTAGAAATAAACGTTATTTTAGTGGTGCACATTAACACAACATGGTGTGCAAGGTGCAAACACAGAAAGCTGTAGAATCCTGGCTATGAGATATGAACTACCCTCTTTCCCAAAATATATCAAGTTTTAGCCTATGGAACAGCTATTAAGGAGAGGGGGTAAAAGACTTGATTTCCACCTCAGGACGAGTGAGGTGTAGCCGTGTAGGCCAAAATTAGATGGGGCTATAATGAAGCAAAATGGTAGAAGGGGTAGTTTAATGGTCAAAGTCACATTTTATAAGTACTGAGTTGCTATATTTGGGACAAATTTTGAACTCTAGAAGTTATATTTTGGGACAGGCGTAGTAGATATTTGTTACTCCCTCCGTTTCAAATTACTTGCCGTTTTAGGTTTGTCCCAAGTCAAACATGTCTATCTTTAACCATTAATTGTTAGATCCTTGTAGTTTAATGACATGTGGACTATATATATGAAAGTATTCTTATAGTGAATCTGGTGGTCAAAGATTAAAAATACCTGACTTCATACAAACCTAGAACAGCAAACTAATTTGAAAGGGAGGAAGTAGTCATGATTCATGAACATAAAACTAAACTATATGATCTTTCAGGTGCAGCGCATTATAAGCAGAAACTCCAGGGGAAAGGGTTTTACTGAACATGATAGGAATAATATTAATGCATTGAAGTCAAGACATTCAGTCTGTGATCTTGTAGCTGTTGATAGGAAGCATTTATTTATACATCATCAAAAGAAAGAAATTACAAAATGTAGACGTAGTGGCAGGGGAGCTAGAAGTGCTAGTTTTGTGGATGGAAACATAAATGATAATATGATGTATCAATGCAAGTACAATATATATTAAGCATCTAGAAACAAACAGGTCAATTGGGAAACAATAAATCAAACAGCTCTAAAGAATACTAGTTGCAAATACTTGCTCCGTTTTACAATGTAAGACTTTTTAGCATTGCCCACATGCATAATATTCTTCTGCTGCTAGTCGATCAAGGTCAGTAAGTTTAGTTTGTAAGCGCTTGGTTCAAACTAGAGAACTCAAAAGAAAAATTACCTGGAGGAAGAAGAACAATTGCTGAGATGCTTGGAGATCCCAGTTTGAAGGTAGGTGAAACCGTAGCCCACAGGCCTTCCAAAGCCAAAATCAGCCACACCCTTTAGAGCCTTGTTCCTCATATCAACAGCAATCACCAACGCCTTGTCCTCCTCGTCGGGATCAGGTGTGTGCATGATGTAGACAACATCACTGTCGTGCAAGCTCAGCGCAGGATAACCAGCGTGGAGTCTCTTCAAAGTTAGCCTCGTTGTACCCGTACCCTGCTTCAGATTAGGCTGCAGCCGCAGCATCTGGGCAAATGTGAGGCTCTCCACTGGGATCTCGGAGAATTTGATAGCGCAGTCGTCCTCCCAGCTGCTGCTGCTGCTGTTCCCAGATGCAATGCTCGAAATCTTCATCTTCTTCGTTGCAGCCACCCAACCTTGAGCAGAGGCAGATCCGGTGGTGTGGTTGTACATTTCAAAGAACTTGATGTACCCTTCAAGAACAACGATGTTGCGATGAAACATCGGGTCTCCCTTGAGTTGCCTGGGCACCAGCGGCGGCGGCAGTGGGATGAAGCGGAGGCGAGGGTTGTCGAGGAGGATGTCGCAGACGAGGATGCCATGCCAGAGATCGACCCAGCCCACGGTTCCGAGCTCCCCTCCCACAACAATCGCCTTGCTAGCGTAGGAAAATCTGAAGCTGGTTGAATCATCATCATCATCGGCGTCGACGCTCACCATCAGCTTGGTGCTCCATTCCCCCGTCTCGGAGCTGTACAGGTGGAGATCGAACTGCTCGTGGGTGTACTGGCGACAGAGGGTGGGGCGATGGAGCGCGGCGAGGAAGAAGGCTTCGCGGGGGCGGCGGCGGCGCAGAAGGACGACCTCACTGTTGGGGAAGGCGAAGGTGAGGCCCGGGGGCGTGGGGACCGGCGTGAGCCGCTGCTCGCCGTCGCCGCCTGCGTGGTAGACGAAGTAGTGGTTGTTGATGGCGTAGATTTGGGTGGCCTCAAGGCAGATGGGGATGCGGAGCAGGAGGAGGTGGTGGTCGGAGCAGACGGCGTCGGGCGCGTCGGCGAAGGCGGAGCACTTGGTGTCGTCGGGGGAATGGAGGGTGAAGAAGGAGGCGCGCGGCGGGGTGGCCGTCCAGAAGGTGAAGACGATGTTCTTGCCGCCCCTGGTGAGGCCCCTGGCGGTGGTGTGGTTGGTGCGGTCGCTGAAGTAGCCGTATGGCTCGAGGAGGATGGAGGCAGGAGGAGGGGAGCCCGGCGGATCCACGGTGTGGAGCGGCGGAGGGACCTTCAGGAACCAACCCGACGGGCCGTCCATGGGAATCCGAGCAGGAAGGAAGTGGAAACCCTAGAGAGGGACAACAAAGGACGGATACAACAAGGGAAGGGATAAGTTCGCTATAGTAAACATGACACGTAAAGCTCCTCGGTGATTTGGACGGCGGTTTCAACTGACGTGGCACTCAGCTCAATTCCATCCACCTTCGGAGCCGGCCGTCGTCGTCCCTTGCGCCGCAGCCGACCGCTGGAGCCCGAGTTGCCTCCGTCGCCGTCGAGTTCGTCGCCGCCTTCCGCACCCACCGTCGTGGTGCAAACTCGCCGCAACCGGCCGAGCCACGGGAGGAAACCCTAGCCGCTGTCGAGCCGACGGCTAGCCGAGTGCCGCCTGTGCGCCGCGCTGCACGAGATGCAAGCTTGCACACCGCTGCATCGCGTCGCTCCTGGACAAAAAAAACCGGACGCCGCTCCGTTCTTCGTGTCGCACCAGTCGTCCCCGTTTCAGCAAGAGGGCGAGGTGCTTCACCTGCCGCACACGTCCACTGTGGCACGACAGTGGTCGCGAAACCAGCTGCTGCCCCGCAACACGAAACTCATTATGTAAGTAATGTTTGTTCAAATATATAACAAGTGAGGCGACTCTGGCATGGGAGGCGTTTGGGAATTATTCAGACGCCTTGAACCTGACCCCTTCCCTTCTTGGCGTTGCGTTGCCTGCTGCCTGATTACCAGTAAACCATTTCAGTATAGGACACAGACTATCTGTTAATATGTACACAGACTTGTTGGCAACCTTTTATGACAAGTTGACAAGCACGATTGCAGCATCTAAACGTCTTGCGGTGATCCTAGAGTCACTAACCACCTCAATCTAGTAAAAGCTAAATCAAGATGGGTTTTGATAACTAAACCGGCTAGCGGAACCGATTCTAGATAAGTACCCGTCTCGTGGGCAAAACGGAAGGTTTTCAGGACAAACTGTTAACGACGAAATTTGGTAAGCCCAAAGTCATCATCGGCTTAGAGTCAGTATCGGCTTCAGAGTTATGGAATCAGCCGATGGGAGTCGTCAAATCGCCAGCAACCGTGTTTTCGATGGAGTTGGATCAACTAAAAGGAATTTATCCAGAAGAGTCCGAGTCCAAAAAGGATGCAGCAAGGCAGTTTATCTATTAATTAGGAATAGTTTGTTAGTTTCATTTTATCTTTAGGAAAGTGTGTTTATTATCCGATTAGGACTTTATGTTTTCCTTTTATCTTTAGGAAAGTTTCTTTCTTGTCCGACAAGAACTTGTATCAACCCACGGGTATAAATATGTACACCCGGGGTCATTGTAATGAATCAATCTATCGATCAATACAACTACTCTCGGCGCATCGCCACCCTCTTTACCGAGGTTTTTACTTATCATCCGATTGAACCTGGCACCTGACGCGGGGCTGCATCGGCTTTCGATCTCCGGCGAAGGGTACGTCCTGCGTTCCGTCGGCCCAGGCAATTGTATCGTTTACATCGACGTCGTTCAAGGCTGCATCAGTACATTCGACCTCTTGGATTGCTGTGGTTTGGATGGTATATTTGCTAACCTATTTATCTTATGTCTTTGTTAATCTAGTCTTAGCATATCGATTTAGCTCTATCGACTGCTTCTCGTTTTAGGGTTTCTGCCGATATCGGCTAAATCGCGTTGCTAGATTAGATTAGCTTAGACATCTACCACCCTGAAAACTCAGTCAACGGCTCGATTGTCTAGATATTATGTTTTTTTTTATACTTAGTGCTGCATCAGTTAAGTTTGATCTACTAAGTCATGCTTAGAACCATAATCTCTAGCCTGCTTTTTGATTGCCAATAAGGGTTCCATCGGGATTTTAGCCGATGAGTTATCTGGATGTTGCATCGGCTTACAAGGATTGCATACGTATTGGATTTAGCCGATTGCGATAAAGGTTTCATTGATTTATCTAATCGTTTTGGATTTTATGACATCGAACCTTCAGCCGATGTATACTTTAACCTTCGGATAAGTGCTTATTCTATCATATTGTTAGCCGATTGGTTTATACTGGATTATATTGCTATATTATATTATCATCAGCCGATTGCCTTCATATCATTATATACATTTTACATATAGCCGATAGCTGAAAACTCTATTGCTATCGGCTGGAACTACTACATCGGCTTGTCAGTTGATCGGCTGTTTGATCTACTGTTTATATATCTTGTCAGTTACAGGATCAAACTGACTGGCACGCCCGCATCTCACCAACCTTTGGACCTGCACTGGAACTAAGCAGATATCCCAGGCCAGTGTGTGTTTTTCGCATCGACACAAACCTACAAAAAGGTGTTGCACTCTCGCAGCAGCGGCGGACGATTTACAGCGCAAATCGACAAAGATGGACAAACTAAGAGAAAACTAAAAGCAATATGAAAAATGATTCGATTGATTGATTGTAGATTGATTATTACAATGAACCGGCCTTACCCCCTTATATAGTGGTTGGTCTGGCCTTCTACAGGCCCTCCTCTACGTCTAACTCAGGGTAGAATCCAAAAAAAACCCGAAACATGTCTTCCCGAGCAAGGAAACCCAAGATCCGACAAAAACAGACCCGGACTCGAACTCGGCCGGTCAGACTGGCCACACACCGCAGGTCTGACCGGCCCTCACCCGACGGTCTGACCGGCCCCATAGAGGAAAACGGTAGACTTACAAACTTTGGCAATTTTTCCTATTTTACTCCTAGGTGCTAAATTTGGGTGTAAACACATATCCCCCTTGCCTTTTTATGTACAATTTGAATCTAAAAGCATAGAACATGTTTTTTGTCTTAGGGCGATAATCCAATTACCGTCCATAGTACCTCCTAAGCATCTTGCCAAACACTTGGGAAGTATTTCTTTAAGTATTTCTCATTGATTGCTTGCTGAAAACGCTCTACTTGAAGTGTCTCCAAATTGAGAGTCTAAGTCAAAGCCAGTAAACTCTGCTCTCTTGGTAACTTGGGCGAACCACCGGTGCTCCATTGCTTCCGCCGCCGTCAGCCTCTTCTCAGGATCAAAGGACAGCAGCCCGGACAGATTCGCCGGTGAAAGCTCCAGCAGGACATCCTCGAACAGCTCCCTGAGCGGGTCCCCAAGGTTGTCCGACAGGTCGGCGAGAAGCTCCTCCTCTATCATGTCGCCTCCGAACAGTGGCGCACCGGTGAGGAGCTCGCCCATTATGCATCCCAGCGCCCACATGTCCACGGCCGGGCCGTAGCACCGGTTGCCGGCGAGTGTGTGATTTGGTTGGCGCCATGGCGGTGGATTTATTGGGGAACCGGTGGGCATCGGACGATCATCACGTGATCTCCGACTCTTCGATGGACGGCCACAGTTTGCTCTCTGACTAACTTGGCGAGGGAATTGGGTCAAAGCGGGGGCGTTCACCGGCTCAAACAAAAACCGGTTCATCCGGTTTCTGCGTGATTAAACCCGGTTTGGCTGCCGAGACGGCCACACTACCACCATCTCGCAGGCTTCACTCCTCGGGTGATTGTTCTATACTTATGCCAAAAAAATTTGAGGATTTCTAATTTTATACCATTCTTTCTAAATGGCGTGACACACAAATATACTATTGTGGACGAGTGGTATATTTATCTACAAAGACCAAAACATCAAATTAGTTTAATTAAATCCACTATTAAATATATTTTTATAGTATATTTATTTTATATTGGAGATTTTGCTATATATTTTAAAAAACTTGATCAACTTAAATTTTATTGGTTTGGGACAAACCTAAAGTGATTTAATATATAAAACAGATGGAACAGATATTTTATTTGCTAAATAGAATTCCGCTCGGCTGAATGCATGAATTCGCTTATGCTTATAAGCAAAAATTTTAAATTTTCAATCTTACTTTTAAGTTGATTTTGGGGTTTTTAATCTCGTAGTTTATTTTTTAGGCTTTGCTTTTAGATAGTTAAGAACATATTATATAAAACTTTTATTTATAAATTATTTTTCATTTGTAAATATGTGTGTCATGCTGGAAAATCTTACTGTCGATTGAATTCATAGCAATTATACTTTTTCCTTCATGCTTGTATGGTGTACACTGTATATGTACATGTAACACCCCCACCCACCGGGTATGTTGTCTGTAGTTGTACATCTGTAACACAAAACTCTAATTCTATCTATCATGTACAGAAGTGGTCACTTGTATGTAGTAAAATGAATGCAAAGTTTTGCGTTACTCTCTGTTTTCTGTTTAATACTGTAAGATTTTTTTGGTTTCACCTAAATTTATCGTTCATCAATATATATGTTTTATATACGTGTTCAGATTCATTAGTGTCCATATCATTAGATATCTTACAATGTTTCCCATCACTAGATCACATAACATTTACAGTGAATTAAGGAACATATTACCAAATTGATTCCCCTTGCTGAGTTGCTGGTCTGATTTGTCATGTTGAAGTATTTGCAGGGGAGAAATTTTCTGGTTTGGATTGTTCTGTGATCATACAATTTCGGCCAGTACTTGTGATGGATTTATATTATTTGGTTACGAACTAAACTAATTTTCTTTTGTTAATTTGACTCTGGTGTGTAAAATTATAATCTTGACACTCAATGCAATTAATAGTGTGCATCTTCTCTGTTTTTTTTCCTCTCTAGCTGCGAAGAGGAGCTATTTTACATGGACATTCTAAAAAAAGAATGACGATAGCACAATGCATTTTGATTCTAATTTTATCCAAAACGTTAAGAATTAGGGGGTTGTTATTGCATGGTATCTCGTTTTGCAACGAGATAATTACTCACTACCAAACATGATACCTCACCAGTATAAGATCTGATATCACGCCGATAACAACTAATACTCTCACGGTATTAGCTAATACTTAGTCGGTAAGAACTGATACATAATACTCAGTTGGTATCAATTGATATTAGGACAGTCCCAAAAGTAAAAAATAAAAACTAAAAATATCTTGGTGACCGTATGATAGGGCACACATAACACTACTTAATATCGTTGTAATAGGAACTAAGGATGTCCCGTTTCAAACAAGAACATGACACCATCATATAGTTTTGGCTTAAGAATTAGGGAACTAAAGGAGCAGCCACGTCGAGAAGCTTACATTGATATTTAAAGAAATTAAGCAACAATGGCGTTGATTCTTTCCAACAAATACTTTACTTATAAATCACTATTACACATATTACTACAATGCTAATGGTGTCCTACTCTTACAGAAGAACCAACATTATAGCACAAGAATCGGTTCATGACATGCAATGGTGTTCGATCTTGACGACGCCTTACAATTGCTTCTACTCTAAATCTTCTATCATGAAGTAAGCCGGCGAGGCCCTCCAGGACGGTGGGGGAGTCGGCCTCCTCCATGAACCACCGGTGCTCTAGCGCCGCCTCCGCCATCATCCGCTCGTCGTCGTAGAAGGCCAGCAGTCCGGCGAGTACCTCGCCCAGCGCCCACATGTCCACGGCCTGGGCGTTGTACTGGCCCTTTCCAGCGAGCTGCTCCGGTGTGTTGTAGTGGAGCGTGCCGACCATGAATCCCTCGTAGGGCGGCGCCGCCGTGGTTGCCATCCCGAAGTCACATATCTTGAGCGCACCGCCCGGGCCGATGAGGATGTTGCGTGGCTTGATGTCGCGGTGGGCTATGCCGGCGGCATGCATTGTCCTGACGCCGGCGCGGAGCTGCCGCATCAGTGCGCGGGTCTCGCCTTCGGAGAAGGGACGACGACGGGCATGGCCGGCGATGAGGTCGCGGAGGCTGCGGGCGCCGACGAACTCTTTGACAAGGAACATGTCCCGGTTGGACGGGTTAGCGGCGACGTCCCTAAGCTGCACGACGTACGGGTGGCCCCGGCACGCGGCGAGGCAGTCGCGTTCGACGTCGGCCAGCTAGCCGTGGTCGCGGCCACACCGTGAGCGCACCCACTTGACCGCCACCGTCTCGCCGGTGCGGCGGTCGCGAGCCCTGTACACGACGATGTACGTGCCCGCCCCGAGCGTCTCCATCCTCTTATAGTTGAAGATGCTCATGAACAGCCACCGTGGCTTATTGCACGGCGACAGCGCCACAGCAGCGGTAGCGGAGCAAGCGTCGCCATCAGGCGTCGGGCGCTTGCATGCCATCGTGACTTATGTCATTTTATTGTCTCGGCTTATTCCGATTCAGTAGAGATGTATATAGGATTTTTTAACTGGGGTTTGGTAAACTAGTTAGTTTATAAAATAATATAATATATTATATTGTATAATGTTATATATTTTTAATATTTTATTTTGTACTATTTGTAAAATATTTGTAGAAATTAACATTAGTTTCTCTGTTATTTACATCATTTTTCTATGTATTGTAAGTTATTTTGGTTTTCATAATTTAAATTTCTCTAATAATAACTAATTTAAATAAAAATGTATTGAAATGTAAAAATAGCAAATAAATATTGTACCCATATAATATATACTACTTAAAATGCTATTAGTGGCAGTGTCCATTCCCACCAAACCCTTACCACTAACCTATGGGTCTTAAGTCCATACTATTACACCATATTTCAATGAGTAATCTCCCGTTTTATTATTGCTTCTCCTAAAATTTCAAAATCACTACTTGTTCAATAAGGAAAATCATAGTATTACTTGGACTAAATAAGTGCTTATTAATTGATTCAATAAATTAGAAACTCAATTTGTTTTCTTGCAACACACTGTCCCTATGCTAGTTAATTTTAAGTTATATAAAAAGAAGTAATACAAGCAATCATATATAATAAAAATCACAACTCACTTGAGTAATATTTATAGTGCACTATGGTCATTAGATTCATAACAAATGTCACTCTCTAAATTATTATATTTTATCCATATAAATTATAGATATTTATATGATTATATGTAGCATTAAATATTATCTTCATATATAATTAATTAAGAGAATTCTAGATTATGTTAAGGAAACAAATATCTCCTAAATTCTAAAAATTAGTTAAGCAACTTGATGTCACAGTAATTACTAGTAACTCATGTAAAAATTACTACTAACTAATAGTAATAATATGTCATGATAATTACTAATCCCTTCGTTTCATATTATAAGCCATTTGCACTTTTTTCCTAGTCAAATTTACTTAACTTTGACCAAGTTTATATTAAAAAAATATTAACATGTACAACACCAAATTAGTTTCATTAAAATTAACATTTGATATATTTTGATAATATGTTTGTTTTGGGTTAAAATCTAATTATCTATTTAATTAAAAATATTAGTTTAAATAACATATAAGTAAAAGGGAAAAATCAATGAAAAATGTTAGAAAATGTATCAATATCTCATATTCCCAGGTGGCCATGTATCCCTGTGTGATTGAGCCTAAGAAGGACGAGAAAATCGTCATGTTGGGTGCCTTCCTTGAGGATATTTCCCTATCTGCTCAGCATCGACTCCGACTCCTTGTGTGGTGTGGATCCCCTAGAGTCATTGCTAAAACCACTTGGTGTAGTTGAAATAATGTCTACCATATCCCTTTGTTTCTACCAGTTGAGATTAATTCTCATAATTAACTCTCTTAATTAGTGTTGATTTAGTGAGAAAATATTTTTCATGTGTATATCTCCATGCGATCGGTTTATCCTCATTCTGGACATTGAAATAAATTGTCTCAGACAACGCTATGGATATGTTTTCTAGATTATATTGTGCTTGCATGTTATTTTGGGGAAAGGGGTGTTATTATTATTTTTTTTGGTCTTGGCTGGAGTGTAATCAAAGAAGGGAACATATACACTAATCAAGTTAATTAAGTGCGACTGAGGTGTCTTAATTGATCTCATTCATATAAGCATAAGAATGGCTATGAGTTTGCCAAATCCTTCTATAGGTTATCAAATGGGTTGGGTCTTTCCCTCTTCGCTCGAGCCCGCATGTATAGTTCATGGCCTAGGAACAGCATCGGCCATTTGGCTGTGGGTCACGCAGGCACGACCGGTCTAGCCATCTCGTGCTTGGGTTGCTACCTGGCCTAGCGTGCAAACACGCCAAAGTGCATGTAGTGAACCAGCACGAGTGCACGACATGGGTCAAGAATGGCATGACGCACCCTTGCCTGTGCGGCACCATGGCAACTGACTGGTGAACAGTCGCCTATCGAACAACTACCATTTGAGCAGGAGCCATGAGGAAACGAGAACGGAAAAATCGAGGAAGCCAAGGGCTCAGGGCAGAGGAAGTGATGGTGGGCGCTCGTCAATGTAGGCCAGGAGGATCAAACCGACTCTGTTCATATTTTTTTTCTTGGTATATATCAAATTTGGGTTAATGGGTGTCCACACAACCCACGTACCCTAATCGTGCAAGGCCGATACGACACGACCTGACATCTCACTGGGTAGTGCCTAGGCTCCATCCTCAGCACGTGGATCGACATGACACGACCCGTTCGGTGAGTCATTCCTAATCGGGCAATGCCTAAACATACCTAATATTTATCCACCATCTCAACCCTATAAAAATTAAAATAAAAATCCATTGTCTCAAAGGTCCAGCCCCAAGAGCTTCCTTTGGAAAATAGGATTATGACTAATGGATATTATCTCCATTTTTCAGATTTTCACCATTTGGGTAGGGTAGGGATGGGATGTGCAATCCGGGTGCATTGAGTGCTAGACGCAATTACTAAATTACCCTCGCACTATAGTTGGCCTCTGTTGTGCGTGAGTTATCCTGACCCTCCTTGTCAGTTTGCCTGCCGCCGATCCCCATCCATCTCTCGAGTGGTCAGGGCACCGTCCTCCGTCCTGCTGCTTCCGCCCCATTCGTTACGCACATCCTCTTTCCCATCTCTCTCTACCCACACACTTTTTTCTCAAATTTGTATTAACCCTAGCTTTTGTTCAAGAAATCTACCTTAACCTTAGAAAATACTAATAACAATTTGATGGTTCCCAAAAAGTTTGGGGGTTCAACTGAACCCCCATGTCCCATGTTAGATCCGCCACTACGATTCAGATCCCTCTGGAACCCCCACCGTTTAATTTGAACTTGAGGTGGAGGAGGCGGCGATTTAATAACAGGAGCTCCTGTTCGGGGCTGCATGCTGATATCAGTGAGCTGAGATACCTCACCAGTGGAGTTGGCAGAATATTGAGAAACATTGGTCGAACACTGGAAACAATAGAGAACATCAGCATGTATTGCATCGAAAGAAACATGTCTATTATTATCAAAACACGATATTAAAGAGTTTTAGTCCCCACCCTTTCATTAAAAAACATATAAACCTCACAACTACGATTCTAAGAACCTCATCTAAGCAAGCTTCTCTAATATCTTCAACACTTGCATAAAACCAGGACTTGGAGCTCCCACACTTTGCTTCTGTTGACCCTCCATTTTGCCAGCTAACTCTCACATATGCAAAATCATGACCCCCTCTTGGGGTTCCTATGTGTTGAATAATTCCGACTAGTTGATAAATGGTTTTTTCAGTATCCACAAATCTGCAACATAGGAAGTTAAAACCCATAAACTTAGGGACAACTACTTAATGCAGCACAAGTAAAGATGGTAAAAGGTTGAAAATAGTTCTGTCTATCAAACATCTCCTTAAAGCACACATGCCCTTCGATTTTTTCATAATCAACAGAACCAAGTGTTGGCATGGATTTTTTTTTTCATTTGAAGCTAAAGTCACTCACAAGGGCAATCAAGCAAGCAGAGCAGATTATTAAAAAATCAATGCTTTTCCTCCTTATAGTACTTCAAGGGATATCAAAACCCGCGTGTACGATACGCTCATGGCCTACGACACAAAATGGGTAGAAGAACTCCCGTCTGTACTATGGGCCGTACGAACCACGCTGACAACATCCAACAAGGAAACACCTTTTTTCCTCATGTACGGATCAGAAGCCATGGTCCCCATGGAGCTGCGACATCAGAGCACACGAGTACAGAAATACTTCGACGAGGAACATGATGAAAGACGAAGCGATGACGTGAATCTACTCGAAGAACATCGTGAACGAGTTGCCATCCGAGCAGCCGCGTACCAACAGGCCCTACGCCGATATCACGAGAAACACATCAGAGCTCGTACACTTGCCATCAGTGGCTACGTCCTCCAACAAGTTCAAAACCAAGCAGGGCGGAATAAGCTCTCGCCCAAATGGGAAGGACCATACATGGTGGTGCAAGTCTTACGACCAAGCGCGTTCAAGATTACAGATGGCGAGGGCTGCGAGTTATCCAACTCCTGGAACATTGATCAACTACGTAAATTCTATGTATAGAACCAATGTATCTCACCAATATCAAATAAAGTTCAAGAAAGGTATTTTCCTTTTGAATTCTTCATGAGACAGTGTTCCACCCAGAGATCCCTTACCACGACAACACCTACAATTGAAGTCGAACCTAATGTCCCTTTACGCCAGTCCGACAAGCCTCCGAGAAACCTACGAGAATTTCGGCTGGGGACGCCCAGAGCAGATAAGGTCTTGTCGGACACTAAGAGTCAAACGACCCTGTCAGACCTGGTCATGTAAGAGTGCTCAATGACGGCGCATTAACCAAGCTGTGTAACCGGAAATTGACTTTTCCAACCTCACGGCTGGGGGCTAGGTAATCGCGTTTTCAAATAGGCAAGTTTCGGGTCATCAAGCCTTCTTCTCCGACAACAAATTTCTCCGAGGACAAGGGTGGGGGCTAGGGAGGGTACCCAACTCGACAACAGGCAAAAATAGCCTGAACAACGAGCAATGCTCGCATATCTCATACACTGTTCAAACTCTAAGTAGGTAGATTTCCGTTCTCTTTACAAAAAAAACTTAACACTTATATTACAAATGTTCCTCTAGACGTTTTTTCTGCAGGGAATAACACCTACCAAGAAGGCCACTGCCAATCCATTGACAAAAAGACTTTCTCGGCGAGGGGAGCAAGAGAACGAGCCAGATGGTCGACTTCACTCATTGATAACCGAGAACGGCCGAACCCCTCATTAAGAAACCCAAGGTTCATATGAGGACGCTGGTCTCGGATGCAGGCGAGTACGTGGCCCCCGGCATAACGGCTAGCGTGGCGGCACTCCTCCTTCAGGCAGTTTCAATCCGCCGTCCGATATCCTCTA